CACCTCCGGGGCAGGCGGGAATCGAACTCATTCGGAAGCGGCTTTAGATTCTCAGTGCTGTGCTTTAACCCGCTGCGCCACCAGGGAGGGCCCCCGAAACTTAATTTTTAAAGCAAAATTGTTACTTTATACTCATTCATTTATTTTCAGTAAATTGCTTCTAATTTTTAGAGAATATAGAGGTAATAGTAGGTGAATGATAGAAGTATTTTACCACTAGAAGAAAATTCAGGTTGTAGGTTCAATTGTCATTAAAAAAAAGAAAAGAAAGAGGGTCTCTGTAATGTTAAACATTTAAATTTGTTAAATTTCCTTCAGGGAAAATTTTCAAATAATGGATTTTTGTGTTCTAAAATACAATTGTGTTCCTGTTTAATGACTTTTTTTTTTAAAGGTACGGACTACGAGAATTTGTGGTGATTGCTCCTGCTGCAAACAGTGATGCTGTTCTCAGTGAATCTAAATGCAATCTACTTCTGAGTTCTGTATCTATTGCTTTGGGAAATACTGGCTGGTAGGAACAAATTTTGTAACATTGGGTCAAATGAAACTTTAATTATAATTTGTGAATGAAAATTATTAGTAAATGTTAGCATTTTAAAAGTTTAATTTAGGAACCTAGTACATATACATTAATACATTGGAATTTGGTATAAATGGACATACTCATTAGAGTAGTATTAGGGAAATAAACAGTGAGTATTTAACATAGGAATAGAATGTGTTACTGTTTGCTTTGTTTCCAATGTTTATTTAAATTTTGTTACAGAATCTAACTTTAAAACTAGGATGAGTCAAGTTTGTTGCTGTTCTGCACATGTCTACAAATCAGTGGACAATGAGGATTAATTACATGTTCAAATGTTAAAAATAAAATGTATATATATATTTTTTAAGATTTATTTATTTGTGCATATAGAACTGGGGCATAGGCTAGAGGCTCAGGGGTGGTGAGAGGCCTCACCAGAGACAGCGTGGGGAACAGAACAGGCAGATCAATGAAGTACACTGCTGAGCGGAGCAGCGGGCGGGTCAGGAGAGGTCTGCCACACCATGTGGTCACCTCCGGGGCAGGCGGGGATGGAACTCATGTGGAAGCAGCTCTAGATTCTCGATGCTGTGCTTTAACCCGCTGCGCCACCAGGGAGGGCCAAAAATAAAATATATTTTACCACTAATGTGGCCTAATTTGCAGTTTAATACCCATGAATCCAGTTTGGTTATGACATTGGAAAGATTAATATGCAATTTTACAAGTTTGTGGAGTGTTCCTTGTTTAATGATTTAAGTACTTGAGATTAAAATACTGGAAGCATGAGAAACATTACATGTAGGGGATATGCAATGGTTAATGAATTTATAGTATGTCCCTGCTTAATTATATCCCATAGTCAGGTGCCGCTGTTTGTGCAAATTCATCATAAATGGCGAAGAACATATGTGGGAGAATGTCAAGGTCCTGGTGTCCGAACCGATTTCGAAATGGTTCATCTTCGAAAAGTGCCCAATCAATATACTCATCTATCAGGTCTTCTGGATATCTTCAAATCAAAGATTGTGAGTTGATAATGATATACATCTGTCTTATATAGGATTCAGATTAAAAAGTAGCAACTTGGTAATTTTATTGAGCACATTAAAATATTTTTCTATGATACTAATAAATATTTAGTAGTAAGATAAAATTGACTAAATAAATTACTACGTATGTTTAAAGAAATAAAATATCCAGTTAGACTTTTAGTGTACTGATGCTAGAAAAAAAAACCTAATGAGTTTTGTTCTAAGTATGTCATCATTTATCAACTGTTACCTCTCTCTACTTTTCCTGTCACAGCAATGTTGTCAGACTTCTCTAGATTACAAGTAGATTTCAGATAATAAGTGTCAGAACTTTTGGTATAAGTTTTTTGTGGTTTGCATTGCTTCCCAATATCCATTTGATTTGATTTTTAAGATTAATCAGTCATTCATGTTTTCTGTGACTGACAGCACCAAGGTTGAGTGAGATGTACTCGATATATTGTTGGTATACTGTGAAAACACTATCACAGAGATAGGAAGTACTTGCCTAAGTTACTCAAGAGGTAGAGTGAATGGAGTCTTAAGTTGAGGAGCTATTTGGAAATAACTCTAGAAAAGAAAGCAAAAGCCATATTAGCAAATGGTTGAAAGATCCTCCACTTAGGGAAGTGTTACCCATAAGTGTTTAAGGTGACACCTATCGCTCTGAAGTGACCAAATACAAACTGCTATCAGGTTTCTCCTAGTAAGATTTCAAACATCATCATTTTCTAGAATTGTTTAATATAAGTCAAAACCTGAGGAAACAATCACATATTTTCAGAATAACTTTTAATATGTAAATTAAAAGCTCTAGACGCTTCAAAAATGTCAGTATGACAACATAAAGATTAGTTTAAAAGAGACTAAAGAGCCATCATAACTGATCAATGTGGTGCATGGTCCTTAAAGGACACTATTAATAACCATAAAGGATACTGTTGGGATAATTTTATCTGGATTATATATACATATATAGCTTTTAAATTGAACGTTTATTTAAAAAAATACTTTTATTTTTTTTATGCACACAAGATCTGGGGTGTAGGCCAGAAATGTGGAGGGTGAGAGGATTCACCAGAGACAAAGTGGAGAGCAGAACGGATAGATTTATTGAAATACACTGCTGAAGGAGCAGGAAGCAAGACAGGAAAAGTCTGCTGTGCTATGTGGGTTAGCTCCTTGGCCAGAGATTGAATTCATGCCACAGTGGCTGGTAATAGCTTGATAATGCTGATATTTTAACCCCTGCACCACCAACTAGGCTTTGGATTACATATTTTAAAATAATATCAGTGGTATGATTGTATTATGATTACATGGGATAATATCTTTGTTCATAGGATTAAGAATTATTGCCATACCTATGACTTACTTTCAGAAGAGTCAACCAAAGCATTGTTTTTGTGCATGTGTTGTATGTATACTTAGTCGTGTGTGTGTCATAATATTAATAATTTGTAAGCTTGATAAATTTTTTATTTCTGAAGGCTTGCAAATTTTACAAAGGGAAAAAATGATGAGATATCTTTTTAAATAAATTTCTTAGAAACTACTTTGGGATTAGAAATTATTTTCACAAAAACGTATTTTCTGTGTTGAGGCCCTAAACAGTTACCTTTATTTTACATTTTAAAAAATGATACATTTACCATGCTAAGAAATTAATGTTAAAGCTTCGTTTTACTTCTAGTCTCCTCCTCAAAATCAGCATTATTAGCAGTTCTTGTGATTATCCCATTAAAGAAAATCATAGAAACATTTTCAAGAGAGTTCCATGTTTTGTTTTTTTTTTTTTGAAAAAATTTTTGATTTTGAAATGCCTTAAGTCCTGCTTTGAAAGGTTTTTGAAAGAAACTAATTTTTTTCTTTTCCTTTCATTAGATTTTTATTTAGCTATTATATTTAAATTTTTGTGCCAAATTTCAGGTCAGATATGAATACTAATACTTTAATTCTCTCAAAATATTTGTGAGTATTATTTTCTTGGAACTTTCATATCATCTCTTGTCACTCTTCCATCTACATTATCTTCTCTAGGGACCACCTAGATTTTATGTTTGCTATTTGTACTTAAAAATAAGTGTTTCTTAATCACATCTTCTGTCAGAACTTTTACATAATTCACTTTGTGTTGAACTTAAAATAATTGAAACCTGATTTGGGTACATTAGAGGTTTTATTATCACTAAAGCTATCCAATATGTCACTCTCCTTTGCTTTCTAACATCTTCTAGAAATGTGTATGGCACTTAACCTTCACTTGCAGTTTATTTCATTTTTACATAGTTCTATTAGAAAAGACTTCCTTTTAGGAGATGCAAATTAAAACCACAATGAGGTACCACCTCACCCCAGTGAGAATGGCACATCTTAAAACAACTAGCAACAACAAATGTTGGTGAGGATGTGGAGAAAAAGGAACTCTCCTGCACTGCTGGTGGGAATGCAAACTAGTACAACCACTATGGAAGATTGTTTGGAGGTTCCTCAAACTGCTAAACATGGAGTTCCCTATGACCCAGCAATCCCACTCCTAGGTATCTACCCAAAAGACACAAAAACCCTGATTGAAAAAGATACCTGCACCCCCATGTTTATTGCTGCTTTATTTACAATTGGAAAAACATGGAAACAAATGCTCAAAAGTGGATGACTGGATCAAAAAGATGTGGTGCATATACACAGTGGAATATTACTCAGCAACCAAAAAAAATAAGCACGTCTTTTGCAGCAACATAGATGGAGCTGGAGAACACCATGCTTAGTGAGATAAGCCAGAAAGAAAAGGAAAAATAGTGGATAGTTTCACTCATAGCCAGAAGTATAAAGAACCAGGCAAGAAACTAATAATAATGAACAGCTATATACCAGAGACATTTTATGGGGATGGAGTGGGGAATGGGATCAGAAACAGTGGGGGGAGGGAAATGCACTGGACTATGGTGATGGCACACGTGATTTGGGAAGCCTACGGGGATTACAAGTGAGATGGAAAAATGAACAAAATCATGTAAAAATAAACTTATATTATTTTAAGAAAAGAAAGAAAAAGACTTCCTTTTAGGGGACACATTTTTACCCTTTGGAGTCGCATGGATTTTAAATCTTTGTCTATAATTCTCTAAATATTTGAAAACATACACCTAGTTTTTTCATTTTCTATTAGATATTCTTCATTCTTTCAGCAAGTTTGTGATTCATGGTTTTATATTCTGATTGTTGGTTTGTGTACTTGTATCTTTTAGAACAGCAGTTTTTCATGTTTGGGGGAAGTTTGTTTAGTTTTATTTTGAATGAGGACTATCTTGAACTTTTTCAATTTTCTTCTTTTCTATGATTTGTTATTTTGTGGTCCTCCCTACTTGCAGAACATTTCAGGACTAGTTCTTAAAATGGCTTTTCGAGTTTCTTGCTCAGTGGTGATATTGAAGTATTTGCATAACTAGTCTTAGATTCATTGTATTGTACACTCAGGTCAGGAAAGTGGTGTTTATTCCCCTTACACAATAACTCTCCTTCCCCATGGCTTTGACCAAAACCATTGTACCAGTAGGAGTGTCCAGCCCCATTGTGAACTGCAGACTGCTCTAAGCAGAGTACTTTTGGTTCCATTTGCTTCAGTCTGTCACTACTTTCCTCTTTATTCTGCACCTGGAGCTTAGCAGTCTGAAATTCTGGCTAAATGATTGAAACTGGTTTTTATTAATTTTATTTTTCATTTTAAAGAAAAAAAAATCATCTCCCCAAAACTAATTGTACCCTTTATAACAGTAACCATACTTTAAAAAAGTGAATCACATTTTTTTCATATTAAATGTGTCTGAATATAATAGTAAATATATTTGTGTAATTAAAATCACATATGGTATTTTGAAAGAGTATTTTGCTTACTGTAATTTAATACCTCATTTCCAGGTATGGTTTACACAGCTTTATTTTAATGTAATTTGCTCTCTGACATTTTTTAAATTTTTTTTTTAAAGATTTATTTATTTGTACATAGAGAACTGGGGTACAGGCCAGAGGCTCAGGGGCGGTGAGAGGCTTCAGCAGAGACAGTGGGGAACAGAACAGGCAGATCGACAAAGTACGCTGCTGAGGGGAGCAGCAGGCGGGTCAGGAGAGGTCTGCCACGCCATGTGGTCACCTCCGGGGCAGGCGGGAATCGAACTCATGCGGAAGTGGCTTTAGCTTCTCAGTGCAGTGCTTTAACCCGCTGCGCCACCAGGGAGGGCCTTAAATTATTTTTTTTAAAGGTACACAATTCATAGAAAATGAAAACTTTTGTGAAACCAGTTTGCAAAAATTGTGGATGGAAATTCTTTGTTTATACAAATGTGCACACAAATACCCTGATTCCTTTTTAGATTTTAGACATGCCAATATTATTCCTTTTTATAGAATCTTCTTTCCTGATTCATCTCAAGCTTTTAGATTGTGAAAATAACTTCCATAATTTGTACTTTTGACTCAAATAACTTCATTGACTTAGTTTCCTTTTAAATGGCTGGAATATACATACTAATACCCTAACACTGTAATCTTAAAATCCTAGTTCGTAAAGGTACTAATGTTTCCATTCTAATAGTTTGAAATTTTGATATTGAATTTATATAGAACAAGGGTGTTAGCATTTACATGGTACTGATTTTGCATTTATTTCCTAGGGATGTCCTTTAACTCCATTGCCTCCAGTTAGTATTGCTATTCGATTTACCTATGTACTTCAGGATTGGCAGCAGTATTTTTGGCCTCAGCAACCTCCAGGTGAGATAATTCAGAACAATATTTAGCTTAATGAATAGAAACTTAGCTGATCTAAGAAGCTCAAGAGCCAGAATGTTAGTATTTTAATTCTTTTTACCAATAAGACCTTTGTTAATATTCTGTGGCTAAATTTTTTTAAGTAGGAATCAAAACATTAACCTTCTGAAAGACAGACACCAGATAATTTCATTCACAGGTACAATATAAAGAAAGGAAACAAAGGAACATATAAATCAAAACAAACTAGGAATCTACAGAATTGAGGCTATTAGTAGAGGAGGTTGCGGGATAGGTAGGAAAAGTAAGAAGGGGAACAGCGTACTTGGTGGTGGGAAGGTGCTTTGGTGGTATGCATGGCATCTATCAGGAGAGGCGTGAATTTGTACCCTAAATCACATGGTGTTGTAAACCATTGTTACCTTAATCATAAAAATAATACAATAAAAGAAATTAACCATCTTCCTCAGTGAATTGAATACCATGTAATTTTTTAAGGTCTGTTTTCAATTTTTTTTTATATTTAGACTTAAATATAAAAAACACTGGATGTACAATATAATGATTAGGTATTTTTATATTTTGTGAAATGATCACAATTGGTCTAATTAACCACATCATGTGTAACATAATTTTTGCTTGTGATGATAACTTTTATGACAGATTCTCTTAGCAACTTTTAAATATGTGCTATAGTATGATTCATTATAGTAACTATGCCCTATATTACATGTCTATGACTTATTTTGTCACTAGTAATAAACTATAATAACTAATTATACATATATACATATGGGAGATAATATGGTATTCATTTCTCTCTAACTTATTTCACTTAGCATATTGCCCTCAAGGTCCATCCATGTTGTGGTAAATTAGGCAAAAAGTCAGGTTTTGGTTCAAGGTTAAGGTTTTTTGCAAGTTTCCTTCTTTTTTTCTGTGATTGAATATCTTTTTCTGTGTGTGTGTGCAGGTGTGTGTGTGTGCGTGTCCTAAAACTTTAACATAAGTTTTAGGATTCTTGCTGTGAAGAATGTTAGACTGTTTTGGGTAGAATGAACATTTTAACAGTATTAATTTCTATAATTCATGAACATGGAATATGCTTCCATTTCATTTATGTCTTCTTCAGTTCCTTTCATCAGTGTCTTACTGCATTCAGTTTATGTCTTCCAGCTCCTCAGTTAAATTTAAACTTATTAAATTTGATGCCATTATATTTGAGATTGTTTTTCTTAATTCTTTATTACTATCAATATATAAAAATGCAGCTGATTTTTTTGTATATTGACTATTTTGCCACTATGTTAAATTTGTTGATTTTAAGTTTTTTTGTGGAATCTAGCATTTTCTGTATAAAACTATGTGTTCTTCATATAGTGGCAGTTTTGTTATCTACTAGAGAATGTAAGTATCTTAGAGACTATAAGTAACTGACCAAGAGTTAACATGGTCATTAAATGATAAAGTTCATTTAAAGTTCATATACCAGTTTATATATTAAAGTTTATATATTAAAGTTAATATACCGGTGAAGCCCCAAATCCCTTCATCTTTTCATTTTATATTAATAGTTGTTTCTCAACTTTAAATTCAGTGAAAACTATTATATGATTATAGTCTAGTAATTATTTTTAAGTTAACTAATTTATGAAGTATCCTTAACGAATTTTTAAGCTTTTAACAATTCGTATCTTATTTTTGAGCTTGCCTTTCTGATATTTATTTTGTAAACATTCTTTAGTTGGAAAATGAAATGAATTGACTTGAGAATATTTACTGAGTCAAGTAATTGAGCCATATTTAACAAGTCATTTAATAATTTAGTATATAAATAATTTTCAGATATGATTTTATCAAATAATGGGAATGTTCATAACTCAACAATAGACTTTAATTTTAGGAATTCCAGTACATAGTGTGGATAATTAAAAACAACTCTCTATTATTTGAAAGATAAATACATCCTTTTGATGTCTTTTATAAGTGTTTGTTATTTCCTCAAAGGGGTGGGATAGACCTTCTAAATTTTCCTCTTAATGTCAGATACCATTCATAATGAATTCTTTCTTGAATTCCAAATATTTCCATGTGCCATCAACTGAAACATAATTTTATTAATAATGACTCATGTTACTCAGAAATTATTGAGAGCAAAAGTGATAAATATATTTGTGATTAAATTTTTAGTACTTAAGTAATCTTCCTCTTAAATGATAATATAATCATATTCTTAGAAAATGCAAATACATACATAAGAATAACAACTTTTGAGCAATATTTAGAGTACTTAGGGAGTATTTCAAAACGGTAAAATTAAAATGTGTGACTTGAAATTAACCAGTGAGTAACTAGAAATTAAGCATGTTCTTTTACTCCAGTGTCCTTAGGAGAAGTCTTTAATGCCAGACTACTTGGTCTGTAACATCCTGTATGGGCTAGTAATTGAGGAAATTTTCAACTTATCTTCCAATAGAATAACCTTACTAGGATAAATTTTTTTTCTCCATTTTTTTTTTGCTTAATAACTGAAGAATTTTTCTTTTATTTAGATATAGATGCTCTTGTTGGAGGAGAAGTTGGAGGCTTAGAATTTGGCAAGTTACCATTTGGTGCCTGTGAAGATCCTATTAGGTAAGAATTTTAAAACTTATCATTTTGATTATGGGACTTTACTTTTTAAATTACATTGAGAATAATTTTGTCTTGCTTTTTAATAGTGCATCCTGCTGAATTAATATAGTGCCAAAAATAGCAACCATCCTTACAATCTTTCCATCTGATTTTTTCTCTATAACTTAAAATAATTTAAAAATATGACATAAAACATCTACAATACCTTCTATTAGTTATTCCTTATAGAGGTGATTTGGGAAATATTTTAAATACTAAAAAGCTAAAAAATAATTATATATAACTTTCATGGATCTATCACCCAAAATTAATAATTATTCTCATTTTTCCACATTCTTATTTTTTAATTCATTTTCTTACATCATTGTTAATTTTTTGTACAGTATTTGATTTCTCCCCTCAGCTATAGTCCTTGAGGTTCTCCCACTATATTAGTATATGTGATCCATTACCATGGTCCTTTCCCGCCCTAGGCCCCAGATCTAACCACTTTTTCAAAATATGCAAATTAGGACAGACACAATGGTGACCTCTTAGATTACACAGTTGTGTTTGGAGACTGCTGAAATTTAATGGAAAGCAGTTTCACAAGAAAATGTAGAACTTGTAAATGTAATCACTGATGAAAAATACTTGGAAAATATGAGTAGTGCCAATTTAGAAATTATTTCAGTTGTTTATTAAAATAAGCTATTTGGTTAATTGAAGTATATTTATACACATGCATATGTGTGTATATACGTTCTTTTAAAAATATTTTTATTTATTTATACGTAGAAGAATGGCGAGCGGGCCAGAGGTAAGAGGGACGAGAGCATTCACCAGAGATAGAGTTGTGGGCAAAACAGGCAGATCTACTGAAATACATTGCTGAGGGGAGCAACGGGTTAGACAGAAGTGTTTTGCTGCACCATCTGGGTCAGCTACCTGGCTGGGGATCAAACGTTGGTCATTAAGGTGGTAGCACTGAGACTTTACCTACTAGACCACCAGGAAGGCCCCATATATACATTCTTCACACTTTTACATAGAAGTAGAAATAATAATACTATTAATCTACCATCACTAAAAAGAGATGATAATGTTGCATATTCTTTGTATGTGTGGTAGGTTCTGTGCCAAATGGGGAAGATACAGAATATTCCCTTCTTGGCATTTATTGTCTAGTTTAAGGAAATAGACAAAATGATCATCTAAATAAATAAACAGTTATAAATTGTGTAATAATTTTCTTAAAGGGTTTTTTAAATTTAAGTTTTATTTATGCATACAGAACTTGGGTGCAGGCCAGAGGTGCAGGGGTGGTGAGAGGTTTCATCAGAGACAGAGTAGGGAGCAGAAGAGGCAGATTGATGAAGTTCACTGCTGAGGGGAGCAGTGGGTGGGCCAGGAGAGGTCTGCCACATCATGTGGATCACCTCCGAGGCTGGGAATCGAACTCACACTGAAGCAGCTGCAGCTAGCTTACAGTGCTGCACTTTTAACCCACCGTACCACCAGGAGGTGCCTGTGTAATAATTTGAAAGAAAAATACAGGATATAATGACAGCATATGTAACTGATTTAGAACATCAAGAACGTGTTCTTAAAGGAAGTGATAGTGAATGTGAGTCTTGATGAGGTAAGGACTTAGGCAAACAAGACATCCTTTCCAGGTGGAAGGAAAAGCCTCTGTAAAGGACAGAGAGAAGAGCCTGCCTTGTTTACTGGAGAAAGTAGAAAGTGGCTAGCATGGCTAGCATGCTGTCAGGGAGAAATGGTGTGAGATAACTTAAGATATACTTGTGAGCCTTTCGCTGGCATATTCATTTAAATTTTGCTTAGAGAAAATTTTGGTTGAAGAGTATATTGACTTGGTTGTAGAAATTTGAAGTAATTGGTTATTGAGTTTTTTTCCCTAATTTAAAATTATTATGAGGAGTCATCAGAGAAACAAATTATTAAAGAGGAATGCAAAAATAAGTTAGAGGTATTGAATATATAGTAGTACATTGAAATGAAATGATTTGCAAATGTTGTAAACACTATGCTTTTGAAAAGGATTTTTGGTAGTAGAAGAGGAAACATGTTTTTGAAAATACCCTCTTTGTCAAATAAGTTGTTCTATAATGAGAAAAAGAGCATAGTTAAAAAAGTTTAAGAGTGGCATCCAAGGTTAATACCTAAAATTATTAAGGAGATTACAATTTTAAGCCTCTTATCATCTATATCTTCTAATGTCACATATCGGTTATGGCCACATATTTTTAACTTTATGAGATTTACCACGGTTTTATTATGAAAATTAATTCATGTTCAGCAAAGAAAATTTGGAAAACATTAATGGAGACAAAGATAATGTTTTTTAGATGTATTACTGTAGTAATTAACTGATGAATTCAAGCAACCAAAAAATTTGATTTATTGGAAGTTTATTGGTGACTCAAAACTTTAGTTGGGTCCATTGTAGTCTTGGTTCCAGAAATAGACTTCCACTAATGGTAGTTAATTGTCCAGTTATAATCCAGGTTACACTGCATTGTTATGGAGTGCTAGCCTTGCTGTCACAGTGAATTCTGTTACTGCAGTGAATTACTGTACTTTTAGACTTAGAGTCTCAGATTGAAGTTGTCAGTTAGTCGAACACCACCAAAGATGAGAGAAGTTAAGTAATTGGCTGGTTTGTTCTGTATTCTTCAAACAGAAGAAATAAGTCAAAATCTAGATAGAAAAAAAAATTAAATTCAAAACTCACTACTCATAAGTGACCACTAATGACAGCTTGGTATGTATTCTTTCACCATTTTTCCTGTACATGAATTTGGTGTGTATTTATTTTCAGCAGTGGTCTCTAAGTCTGCCTTCTGGTTCTTAAAACTTAGCATATAGTTGTTCTCATGGCAATTACAGTGAAAGGATGTAATGCAAATTAACAAAGGGGAAGGGTACATGGAGTGGGGTCCTGAGCAAGCCAGATACATGCTTCCTATTAATTGTTGTCACACAGGATATGCTTGTTGTTCTAGCCAAGAGTGTGACAACAGGAATGAAAGGTTACCTTCTGGAGAATTGCATTAGAGCTTCAGCACTTGGCATTTTTATCAGAGGCTGGTCATATAAGCACCCTTTGCCTAAGATGTACCAGAATGCTAGAATGAAAGCAGGTGTTCAGAGTAAATTATATTATTTACATAAATAGTTTAGGCACAGTGAGCTATTCTTAAAAAGGAATAGTGGCAACCCTCCTGAAATCAACATTCTCAAATGCCAAAACAATGTTCTCAAATGTCATACAGTACAGTTGCCTTTTGTATCTGACTTCTCACACTTAACCAGAATAGTTTGAGGTTCAACCACATTGTAGCATGAATCACTTTTACTGCTTTTTATGGCTGTATAATTGTATAGATAGTACCACAGTTTATCCATTTTTCAGCTTACAAACATTTGGGTTATTTATACTGCGTGGCTATTATATGTAGCATGATTTTTTAATATCTGCTAGACATTAATTGCATATGTATATGCTATTCTTTATCAGCTGTCTTTAGTTTTATTTATAAATATTTATTATTTATAAATAATATTTTTAACATATTTATGTTATTTGCTTACATTTTATTTTTAGAAGTGGAATTGCTGAATTAGAGGATCTATACCCAGTATTAAAGTTTGGGGATGTATTTTATGTTTTATTTTAGTGAACTCCATTTAGCTACTACATGGCCTCACCTCACTGAAGGTATCATTGTGGATAATGATGTTTATTCGTAAGTATGTTAAGAGTAATTGAAATTTAAAAAATCAGTAGGAAAAATTAACTGTCAAGTTGTTAGCAATTTTTCTTTCTCAGTTTTTGATAGGTTGGTTGATTTTTTTTTTTTTTTACTGTTAAAAATCACTTTTTAGACTTTAATATGTAGGAGAGATGTCTTTTAACTTTGGTGATATGATTCTTAGTACAAAGATAATGCGCAGTCTGAATGAATCTTTGGTTTTACGTAAGCAGTTGGGATTCAGTACATAATTCTCTTGAACTTTTCTAAATTGGTAAGAAGCATTTCGTGAAATGCTTTGAAGAAATATGGTCATCAGAATGTGAATATTTGATGATAAATGTAATAAATAACAGAACATCCATATCATAACTTGTATGCAGTGGAAATAACTTAAAATATTACAATAAGCTTTAGAAAGAATGTGGAGAAAAAGGAATGTAATTTTAGTATATTTTATGCATTATGCATAACAGTGAGAAACAGGACACTTCTCTTTTACATCATTTGTGCATTTTTCCACCTCAGTTGTCAGAGTCACTTTTTAAATATGTTATTTTCATTTTAATTTTGTTGATTTTGGTTTTTCCTGTTGTGCATTGGTCTGAGAACTTTGATTTTATTTTCTTAACTTAGCCAAAAGCTTTGATGTACCAGAATAACAGTTTAAGGGAGGCAAAGTAGATTGCTTCTTCTATATGTAATGTTTTGATTATGATGCACTTTGATAAATATGTGAGTTGTGTAGTTTGTCATAACTAGGATCTCATGTTTATTATTTTTGCATTTTAGTGATTTGGATCCCATTCAGGCTCCTCACTGGTCTGTTAGAGTTCGAAAAGCTGATAATCCTCAGTGCTTGCTCGGTAAGATATTTGTTCCTTTCTTGAAATACCACCAATCTGTCTAGCTTCCAAATCAGAACACTGAATGCATTCTCCATACTTTATTTACCAAAAAAGAGTAATTTTTAGTTTTATTTTATTTTATTTATTTTATGTGACCCCTTTGGTTAACAGTATTTAAAAACAAAATTTTTACCAGCAGCAGCAATTCCTTCTAGTTATTCTTGAACAGCAGTAGCTGTATTTTTCTTCTTATATTAATTTTTTTTAAAGATTTATTTATTTATGCATACAGAACTGGGGTATAAGCCAGAGGTGTAGGGGTGGTGAGAGAATTCACCAAAGACAGAGTAGAGAGCAGAACAGGCTGACTGATGAAGTACACTGCTGAGAGGAGCAGTGGGCGGATCAGGAGAGGTCTGCCGCACCATATGGATCACCTCTGGGGCTGGGGATCAAACTCATGCTGAAGTGGCTTTAGCTTCTTAGTGCTGTGCTTTAACCGGCTGTGCTACAAGGGAGGGCCTCTTTTACTTTTAACCAGTCTCCATATCAAGATCCCCAGGATCTGAGTTTTAGTCTAATGCTTTTATGCCACTTCTCTTCTTAACTCCTCCACAATCCAGCACCATGGCATAGGCTGTATATTCTAGTTAGTGGAGAAATTTTTGACTTTTACCTTCCCTCAGAACTGTGGTACATGATGGGAAGAACACTGATTTTGAACAATCTGTATTAGCACCGTTTTGTAGAATGGTTTGACATTGCAAACCTATTTTCTGATAGGGAAAGAAAGGTGTAAATAATCTTTTATGCCTCTGAGTTATTTGAAAAATCAAGTGAAATTGCATAAATTGGAATACTTTAAAAAAATACCAATTTCTGTTCAGATAGTTATTGTATCTCATGTCTGAAGTTATCTTTTCCTTCCCATTTTTTTTATAGTTTAAAAAAAATAATAGCTTATTTTTACATCATTTTGTGCACTTTTCCATCTCAGTTGTAATCCCTGTGGGCTTCCCACCACCAGTTCACCCATGTACCATCACCGTAGTCCAGTGTACTTCCCCTCACCCCCATTTTTGATCCCATTCCCCACTGCACCCCTCCACCTCCCCAAATAAAATGTCTCCGATATATAATTGTTCATTATTATTATTATTATTTTCCTCCCTGATCCTTTATATTCCTGGTATGAGTGAAACCATCCCATATTTTTCCTTTTCTTTCTGGTTTATTTCACTAAATATGATTCCTTCCAGTTCCATCCATGTTGCTGCAAATGGCATGTGTTTACCTTTTTTGATTGCTGAGTAGTATTCTACTGTGTATGTGTACTACATCTTTTTAATCCAGTCATCTACTTTTGGGCATTTGGGCTGCTTCCATGTCTTTCCTATTGTAAATAAAGTAGCAATAAACATGGGGGTGCAGGTGTCTTTTTGAATCAGTGTTTTTGTGTCTTTTGGGTAGATACCTAGGAGTGGGATTGCTGGATTATATAGAAGCTCCATATTTAGCAGTTTGAGAAACCTCCAAACAGTATTCCATAGTGGTTGTACTTGTTTGAGTTCCTTTTTCTCCACATCTTCACCAACGTTTGTTGCTAGTTGTTTGAAGATGTGCCATTCTCACTGGTGTTTTGGTTTTAATTTGTATCTCCCTTATTACATTTTTTCATATGCTTGTTGGCCATCTGCATTTCTTCTTTGGAGAAGTGTCTTTTTAGGTCTTCTGCCCATATTTTGATGGGGTTGTTTACGTTATTTTTATTGAGTTTCATCAGTTCTTTTATATCTTTATGGTTAATCCTTTATCATTAGTTTGTGTGAGAAAATTTTTTCCCTATTGTGGGATGTCTGTTTTTTGTAATGTCTCTTTTGCTGTACAGAAGCTCTTTAACTTTTCCTTTCCATTTTTATACATAACTTTTATGAAGTCTTTTTTACCCATCTCATCTCCTTTGTGTGTTTTTGCACTTTTATATTTAGTACATATGAAAAATTTCCTGTTTCTGTGCTTATCCATGCCACCATAGCTCCATATTACTTGACTTACTAACTTTCAGCTGATGAAGTCACTAAATACTTTTTGATGATAGTAATGCATTTTTTTGTTTATTTATGTATACAGAACTGGGGTATAGGACAGAAACATGGGGAATGAGAGGATTCACCAGAAAGAGAGTAGGGAGCAGGACAGGCAACATGTACTGAAATACACTGCTGACTGGAGCAGCTGACAGGTCTGGAGAAGTCTTCCACACCATGTGTGGGTCACCTCCGTGGCTGGGGATTTAATTCATTTTGCAGTGGCTGTGATAGCTTTTTAGTGCTGTGCTTCAAACTGTTGTGTCACCAGGGAGAACCCATTAATGCATTTTTTTACAGTGTTATTTTCTTGGGCTCTTTTCATTCATAATATACTATTCATTAAATCACTACTTAGTATTTGTGATGAATATATAGCAGTGAACACAAAGACACAAATACAGTAAAAACCTGCTATTGGTATATTTTTCTGTGGTGTTGGGGAGAGTGGGTTAATATTAGGGGTGCTAGAGATGGGCAAAACTTGTTTCAGACTCTTGGTCACAGGTTTGAGTAAGTCTCACTGAAACAGAGGTAACAGTAATACCACACTTTATAGGGTTATTCAGAGGATCAAGTAAAGATTATATGTATGTGTGTTACATTTAACACTGTCTCTTTTAGCAGATATTTAATAGTTTCTGTTGTTTAACCATTCCTCTCCAGTTCCTTATTTTTCCTCATTCTGATTTCTGTAATTGCAGAGTACATTAAAATTAAAAGTAATTTTAAGTTACTATACAATAATCTCACTCAACCTGACTTGTTATGATGGATTATAGGGCTTATAATCATCAAGTATGGTCATTATATAACTAGTCACATAAGTTATATGACTAGTTAAATTCTCCTGCTTTGTTAAGAAGCCCAGCAAATATTCTAGATTTATTCCAAACTAAATGATTTCTGAAGCTTAGAAGTACTAAGTATACTATCTTGTCTAATAGTTTTTACTGCTGATGGCTCTTGTTAAGCTTTAACTTGTGTAAACATATCTCATTACCACTTTTTAGAAGATACTAAACCTCTTTTCCTCTATAATGGTACAATATACACTATTAATATCAGCTGGAGCTTAAATGACTATCTTTTTATTCTTAATTTTTTAATTGATGCAGAATTCTAATATGGTATGGCAGTTAGGGAGAAAAGACCACTATATACATATAGTAATGTTCTTATTATATAACTTTATTAACTCAAAAAGATACTATGTGGGGCCTGCCTGGTGGCCTAGGGGTTAAGTCTCAGCAGTATCACCACTATAGCCTAAGTTCAATCCCTGGCAAGGGAGCTAACCAGATGTTGTTGCAAACCACTTCCATATTGCCCACTGCTCAGCAGTGTATTTCAGTAAACTCACCTGTTCTGTTCCCCAGTCTGTTGTGAGTTCTTTCATCCCCTGAACCTCTGATTACACCCCAGTTCTTCTATGCAAAAATAAATAAAATTTAATAAAAGATACTGTTTGTCTTATTCGGGCATGTAGTAGTGCTTAATAGTATTTATTTTCCCTTTCCTTCTATAGGGAAGTTTAAGGAAAAACCTTTTTAAAATTCTGGAACCTAGAGATAAAGAAAGAGCAAGTATACTTTTGAAATAGGATTAATTTTGGTCTTCGTTAGAAAAACTGAATGGGTTTGTGAAAAAGATACGTTCTTTACAGGATTGACTTCATATAGGTATATGTCAAAAAGAGTAACATTTCTTCTACATAGGTGATTTTGTCACTGAATTTTTTAAAATTTGCCGTCGAAAGGAATCAACTGATGAGATTCTTGGACGATCCACTTTTGAAGAAGAGGGAAAAGGTAACTTGTTTTTGGTTGTTACAAAATGTCTTATCTTTTGTCTTTGGCACATTTTCCAGTAATTTCAATTTTCTCATTTGAATTTAGAGAAGCAAGTTTTGATGAATAGCTAGTTACCATTTCTCTCCAGGCTATCTTCTGAGCTTAATACATTAGGTGAATTTATTAAGTATTTTCCACCGAAAATGTAATATATTTTGAAAAGCAGGGACTTTGAGTTTTATTTCTTTTAAGTTCCCTGGGGAGAAATAATTTGTAACACCTTTGTCAGTCAAGAATGTGTAAAAAACAAAAAATTTTTTTTAATTTAAATTTTTATGATTCTGGGATTATTTAATACAAGTGAAAAGATTGATTAAAATATTCTTTATAATTATCATTTTGTTCATCATTCTAGCCTGTTAAAGTTATTAATTCAATTTGTATTTCTTCTCTTTTTATAGAAACTGCTGATATAACTCATGCTTTGTCAAAATTGACAGAACCAGCATCAGTTCCAATTCATAAATTATCAGTTTCAAATATGGTACACACTGCAAAGAAAAAAATACGTAAACACAGAGGTGTAGAAGAGTCACCGTTGAATAATGATGTCCTCAATACAATTCTCTTGGTAACTAAATATATGTCTCTATATACTCATTTCTTCATTAGGTACTCCTTTTGTGAGGCACACACTACTAGGTATATAAAATGAGTATGCTTCACCATTCAGAAATTTCCAATTAGTGCAATATGAGAAAGGAAAGTAAACAGTAGTTACAGTAGCGTGTTGTATGTGAGACCACAACAGAGGATGCCTCTTAACTTTTTGAGCAGTGAGAATCACTAAAGACCTCATAAAGAGGGGTGCCTGAGTTGCATCTTAAGAGTTTCAGAAGCAGAGAAATCCAGGTGCTTAAGAGAGCATGTTGAACAGTTTGATACAGTGTAGATTGCTTTCCTACTGAGTGATCATAGAAAAGGCTGTTAACCTTGTCATTTGATTTTCACTTTAATATCATTTTAAGTTAAAGATTTGTATTTGAAAACTTAGTTTCATTACAGTCCAGAGAAAGTTAGCTGTATAGTGAGTACTAGGTTGGGAGTAGAGTGACTCCTAGGTTTACAGTGGTACAACAGGCCAAGCCAAGGGGCCAGGATTTAATTTTAATTTACTGTATGACTTTGCTTTTTCTTTGCTCTTTATTTCATTTTTCTTATGTTGTAGCCCCCATAGTTCTCCTGCCGTGACCTTAATCCCTTGTATTCATCTCTACCCTGTTTTGTACCCCTTTCGATCTCCCTACACGCACCCTCGCCTTTGCTTCAGTTCTTTGGTCAGCTTGCTAGTTTTGCCTTTTTCTTCTTGATCTTTTGTTTGGTTTCTCTATATTCTACATATAAGACATCATCTTCTAAATTCTACATATAAGACATATAATACATCATCTGATACTATTTTCTTTCTAAATGTATGACTTTGAATAAACAATTTAACTTTCCTCATCTACAGATGAGGCTAATTAAACCTTGTGAGATTATTGTAAGGGCCTTCTATTACACTCCATGCATATACTAGGACTTTGATAAATGATAATTATTCTTACTTTATCATAATTGTAATGATAATTGTACTTATCACTGCATTAAGACAATCTTGGAAACCTTCAAGAGTTGTGCAGTGAAAAGAATACCAGACCTGGAACTTTGTGTTAAACTTGTCCCTGCCACTCATCTGAACAAGACTCTTAACAAGATTTTTGTCTTGTATGCTTATAAGATGTGAGTGGTAATATTTAAACACACAGTGTGTAGGATTAGAATAATGTTTGTAAATGTGTGAGCAGTGGGGGTTGGCACATAGTAGTTCCTTGTTTCCTTGTGACAAATTGTACCTAGTAAAATGAGTTACAGTTCAGCAGTAACATAAGACATTTGTGGGTTAACAGTGATAAAAAGCCTGAAAAAAAATTGTTTTCTCCTTTTCTTGTTTTTTTTTTTTTTTTTTTTAAATTTAAGTTTTTATGGAATGTGTTCATCCCGCCCCTGGAATGCAGTGGACTATTTTCCACTTTCGTTATCTCGCAAAATAAAGCTATGACCCAAAGTGCCATATTTTTAGCATTTTTATATATGAAAGTCTGTGAACAGTAAGAACTCTCAGAGCCTCAAATATATTTTAAATTTTTGTGTGTGGTTTTATCTTTTTAATAATACACTTTTTTTTTTACAAGTTCATGATGATGGATGAATCTGAGATCAGAATGAATAGTGTTCAGCTCTGTTTAGCTCACAGAACCACATGATTACATTTAAGAAAAATCTCTGATATTTAAACTTCGCTATGTGGTGAATCTGTGTTTTATTTCTCCAGAGAAAATTAGAAAGTATTTGAATATAGTACAGAACTGTCTAATGGGATGAGTATTACTGCTATTTGACAAGAAAAGCATTAAAAAGTCTAATATATGATTTATAAAAATGAACAAAATGGGAAGTTTGATCTAAAATAGATTGTTTCCTTTCTCCTAAGTTCTTATTCCCTGATGCTGCGTCTGAAAAACCTTTAGATGGAACGTCTGTAACAAACAACAATCCTCCATCAGACAGTGAAGACTATGTAAGTTTATTTGATTTATTCAATATCAAAATGTTTAAAATACACTGAATTTCTTGGGTTTGATATATTTCTATTTAAGTGGCAAAGATTTATTATTTTAAAAATTGCTGTACGGAAGCTTGAGTGGACATTATGGTCACCACTCAGAAAATGACCTCAGAAAATGAACATAGGCTTATAATATCTTAGGTAGCAAGAACTTTTCTGAAATAATGAATAAATTGCAGAAATACACTGTTTTTGGTTATAGGATTTCTCTCACTGTAGACTTTTTATAAAATCACCAAATTTATGTTTTGCTACAAATTATTCTCTGTATTTCAGAACTAAACAGTGAATGGAAAAATCCTTTATGAAATAAGATATATAAAAATTTCATCCTTATCTCAGCCTTTTTGTTCTCCAAATAAACATTTGATAAATTGAGAAATGACAATTTAAATAATATAGTTATTGTTTATCATAATTGTTGGGAAATAGACTTCATTCAGTTTATAGTTCTGGTTTTATGCTTTGGTTTTCATAAAATGTGTATTCATTTATAATTAAAAGGCTTTAAAAACAGGACCTTCCCTGGTGGTGCAGCAGGTTAAAGTGCAGCACTGTGAAAGCGATCTGCAGTCACTGCATCATGAGTATACAAAAGCTTGAGTGGAGATTATGGTCAGGGCGGTGACCCACATGGCACTGCAGACCTCTCCTGACTCCTCCCACTTCTTCCCTCAGCAGTATATTTTTAGTCAGTCTGCTGGTTCTGCTCCCCACTCTGTCTTTGGTGAATCGTTTTCACCCCTTTCATTCCCCTCCCCCACCTCTGGCCTGTACCCCAGTTCTTGTATACATAAATAAATAAATCTTTGGGGGGGAAAAAGACTTTTTAAAACAGCTTATAAAGTTTGGATTACCTCTTAAAGAATCTATAGAATATTGTGAAAGCTGTAACTTGAGCCTTACTTTTTATCCTTGTAGAAATCTTGAAGAAATGAAATTTTTTAAATTTACTTATTTTTATTTATTTATTTTTTTATTTATTTGTGCATACAGAACTGGGGTACAGGCAAGAGGCTCAGGGGTGGTGAGAGGCTTCACCAGAGACAGAGTGGGGAGCAGAACAGGCAGATCGACGAAGTACACTGCTGAGGGAAGCAGCGGGCGGGTCAGGAGAGGTCTGGCTCACCATGTGGTCTCCTCCGGGGCAGGCGGCAGGCGGGAATCGAACTCATGCGGAAGTGGCCTCAGATTCTCAGTGCTGTGCTTTTAATCCGCTGTGCCACCAGGGAGGGCCCCTTAAATTTATTTTTTATATATCTATTTACGTTATTGTTCATTTTATAACCATGTTTTCTTCCACCATTTGTCATCACCATAGCTCCCCACTTTCCTTCCTCCTTCTGATCCCTTTCTCTCCTTTCCCCTGTAGGATCTCTCTGGTTTATAATTATCTGTTTTTGTATTGTTTTCTACTGTAATAACAATATACTTCCCCCCCGTCTTGTTTAGTTCTCTTAAATTCCTCCTATAAGTAAAACCATTTGATATTTTTCTTTTTCCTTGTGAGTTATTTCATTGAGCATAATCCCTTCCAGCTCCATCCATGTTGCTACCAATGTCATGAGTTTATCTCTTTTGATTGCTGAATAATATTCCACTCTGTGTGTGTGTGTTTGTGTGTGTGTGTTTTCTTCTTGATCCAATCATTTAGTTTTGGGCATTGGGGTTGTTTCCAGGATGTACTTACTGTTAAGTAGTGTTGCGATAAACAGGGGTGCAGAAGACATGAAACTTTTTAAAATAATATAATTAGTTTACTTCAGACATGAAACTTTTAAAGAACAATTTAGACATGTGTTCTCAGACATTTGTTAAAAGCTAGTTTTAGTAAGATAGATTTTAGTATTAAAATCTTTTCTCACACATTTTTAACTATGTTGTTAACCAGTTTTGCTCTGTTTCTGTTTTGCTAAATTTAGGGTCTCTACAATCAGTTCAAATCTGCACCTTCTGACAGTTTAACATATAAATTGGCTTTGTGTCTCTGTATGATCAATTTCTACCATGGGGGATTGAAAGGAGTGGCACACCTCTGGCAGGAATTTGTTCTTGAAATGCGTTTCCGATGGGAAAACAACTTTCTGATTCCAGGGTAATTTCAGTTTCTTCTTGTATTAGAATTTGTTTGTTTGTTTGCTTGAGAATCTGACTTTTATCCTCTCCTAGGAAATCTGCCTTAAGAAAGTGGTAAGAGAGTTTAGATATCATTTATGTTTAGAGATAGTTTCACTGCAGTAAATTTCTACTAGAAAAAGAAGAGGTGATATAACCTAAGTATCAATGTAAAAGAATGGGCAAAGGACATATCTATAATGGAGAGTTATAGGTCTCTTAGGTTTTTTTTCCCTAAAGAATCTAATTATATAAAAATTGACTTTAGTATTTGTAGTAAAGTAGGATATAGTTCTGCATACACAGTGCTTTCAATTATATATGTTATATATGTCTCAGAAAAATGGGAATTTACCAAATTTTAACAGCGAAGCTATATTTTCATTTTTATGTATAATTTTGTAAATCTTCTATAGTAAACATTTTTATAGTTGTAAGGAAAACATCATTAGCATTCATAAGTTCAGATAGTAAACATTACGTGTGATTTTTTGATACAACTTATACTAACATTTTATTCAGTAAAAATAGAACATTTTATTCAGCCGGCGGGCTTCTAATACCTGGAGCTTGTCAGAAATGGAGAATTCCAGGCCTCACACCAAACTTACTGAATCAAAATCTTCGTTTTAGGGAAAAAAAATAAGAAAGAGCTGTTTTATTCTGGTTATGATGTATGTGTGTGTGTATAATGTACTATTTATATGACATATCTATTATAAAAAATAAAATGGACAGATGACAAACTAAAAGTAACTTAACCTTACCAAAAAATACTTATTCTTAATATGTCACTTGCTAATGTCTGCTTAGCTGTCTTACCTCTTTCTTAATTCTAACCAGTTTGCATTATACACTTAGTACAGATCCAGGAGCATTTTGAATATGAGAGAGTTTCTCTGGCTGGTTATTGGAAACCCTAGTAATTTAGAGCTAGACACAGTGCAGCTTGACAAAGAGGGGTGAAGAATTTAGTTTTCATGTTGAGAATACATTATTATCATTGAGAATTACATACAAAATCCGCTTTGTATGGTATGAGATACTGTATGCTAGCTATTTCATGGGATTGATTTAGAGACTTGTTCAAGCTTTTGCTAGTTTGTCGTTATGCTTTGAACCTTCTGTTGCATTTGTTATATGCAGTTTATGGGCTAGGAGGGTAAAATAACTTTTGACCTTTTAATGTTATTCTGTCTCAGCTACTTAACAGAAATTTAGATTTGACTTTTTATCAATATTGCTAAAATTTACAGTAGTATGATATATGCATATCAAAGCAATTTTACTAAAACTAAGCTTCTTTTACTTACTACTTTGATAGATTAGCAAGCGGACCCCCAGATCTAAGATGTTGTTTACTACATCAGAAACTACAGGTAAAGATTTCCCAGTGATGATGTATAAATGTTTCTGAGGAGAGTCTTGTACTACTAAATGTAAATAGTGGATTGGAGGGTAGTTTTATTGTACTGCTATAGATTACTATATTCTTTGTCATTAAGTGCTGAAAAGGGGTTGTATAGAATGAAAATTAAGTTTTTAGTGGAGAGATTTTATTTTACTGTTACTAATTCAGATGTTATTTCTATATTTTTTTAAGATGTTAAATTGTTGCATTGAAAGAAAGAAGGCACGTGATGAGGGGAGAAAGACAAGTACTTCAGATAATGTGGTTAATACATATCCAGGGGATGCTGCAAAAGCTGGAGACCATGTGGGGCCAGACAATTTAAAAGATACAGAAAAGGAAAAGGGAGAAGTGGCAAAGTCTTGGGATTCTTGGAGTGACAGTGAGGAAGAATTTTTTGAATGCCTAAGTGATACTGAAGAACTTAAGGGAAATGGACAAGAAAGTGGCAGGAAAGGGGGACCTAAGGAGATGACAAATTTAAAGCCAGAAGGACGTCTCATTCAGCATGGGAAACTAACACTGCTTCACAATGGAGAACCTCTCTATATTCCTGTAACCCAGGTAGGACATGGACTAATTCTTTAAATTTTTAGTTTAAAAATTCATTGTGTATTTAACTTTATCCTAGTGAGAAGTGATTGCTTTGGGGAGGGGGTAATTCTTTAAACAAACTTTGTTCAAAGATCAGTTATATAAAATCTAAGTAAACTATTGCGGGTTTTGACCTACCATTTATAAAGTTCAGAAATGACTCAAAGTTTAAATAAAAGGTCATCTCTTATTTCTTTAGCTGAGTGGTGAGTACTCAGCAATTTTTAAAAATCCAAGAATATGAAGGGGAAAGAGCAAATGTAAAAAGTTGTTTTTTTCGTGACTAATTTTCATCTGTTCAAAACTGTAGTTTGCAGCCATATAGTTTAATACCATATAGGAAGTAGGACAGCAACTCAATACTTAGGGAAGAGAGTAATTCCAGTTGGATTGTTTATGCACAAGTAACTTGTAAATACACATTTTATTATGAAAAGTTCAAATCTAGGAAAGTGAAAACTACTGCCACTAATTTAATTCTCAGCCTTAGAAGAACCACTATTGCTGGTTTGGATTATAATATCTTATACCTTTTTCTATGCATATATATATGTGTGTGTGCATATCATAGTTTTGTGTTTTTTTTTAAAATGTGTGTAACCTATTTTTTAAAATCTAATTTGAGTTGAAGATTACATGTAAATCTACTTGATTTCTCTTTGATAACTATGCAATATTACATGGTATGGAAGAGCCATAATTTCACCATTCCTCCATGATGCAGAATACTTTATTTATAAGATTTTGCTGGTACTTTACAATACAGATTCTTACCATTTTTCATATTTTGTGTGTTCAGATATGAGTGCCAACCCAAAGGAAGAAAATGAGAAATGGTATTGTCAAATAAATGAACGTACACGTTATGAAATGCTTCTTCAAAAGCTACACAAATTTACACTCCCATCATTGGTGAATATAGGCATAAAGTAATACCACTAAATAAAGCACTCAGACATTTTTATTATTATTATTGTTGTTGTTGCATAGAAGAACTGGCGTGTAGGCCAGAGTGAGTGCAGCTAAGAGGATTCATCAGAGATGGAGTGGTGAGCAAAACTGGCAGATTTACTGAAATATACTGCTAAGGGGAGCAGTGAGAGACAAAGGAGAGGTCTGGTGTGGGTCAGTTTACTGGTCTGGGATCCAAGTTAGACCGTGGCCATGGTAGCACCTAGATTTAAACTATAGGCCACCAAGGGAGGTCTGGCACTAATTTTCTTATGGATATATTTTTAGGAATGCAATAATGTATTAACTTTAGTAGATATTGCTAAACAAGTTAAGTGGTTTAACTGATTGATGTTCCTTCCAAAAGGTATAATAATTGTATTTATGTATGTATATATGCATTTATTTAATGCCATATGATCCCTCACTTTTCATGTGTAAGGAGTCTCAACACACCACTCCCAAGTTTTAATGATTTGCTAGGAGTAGTTAAAGGATTCTACTGTGTTCATGGCTATAATTTATAAAAGTTATAAAAAAAAAGATAAAAGCAAATAAAGTCAAGTCAGCAAAAGGAAGTAAATTTAGAAGGCCAAAGTTTAGAGGCTGTCCAGCACAAATTTCCATAAATCCCTTCCCAGTGTTGCATAAATAAATTTTTAAAAACAAATAGAAGGAAGGGCCTACTGATGGTCTCTATTCTGTACTAGTTCATCAGAGTCATATAAATTTTTAATTTGACTCAAGTATTTCAATAATAGAGAAAGTAGAGTATGGAGCTTATAATACAACCTATATATTTTGTCTTTAATTGCTAGCATTTAATGAGCATGTGCTAGTATTTATTCCTCACAACAGTTGATTACTCAGGATCACAGAACTGGAATTCAACTACAAGCATGGTGCTTCTATAGTCCAAGTTCTGAAAGAACCACTATGTCATACTGCCTTGTCAGTATCAACCCTCAGTATCAGTGTGACACTCACTAAAAGTAAAATGTATTCACTATTGAGAAATAAAAAAAAAAAACATATTCCATAATCCAGAGGTAATAATTGTTAGGGCAGTTTTCTCCCATTTTTTTCCTATATCAAACCATTTCCCTGTTACTGAACTTTGAGATTCTTTCCAGTTTTCACAGTACTATAAACAGTGCTATTTATAATAGACTATTGCGTACATTTATAATGCTTACCCATGTACTGATATCCAGATTGTTGTCTGGGAAGACTTAGAGTTCTCATTCTTTACAAAAGAGCTTAAAAATGCCTTATTTACTTTTGGTTAAAAAATCAGGATAAAAGAAAAATTCTTTGTTTTCTTGGTTGCCCTCTTATTTTCAATGCTTTGACTTTACTATGCTTCTGCTTTATTTCTGATAGACATCTGTGAAAATTGCCTCTATTGCAGAATTCTCAACTGGGTAATGACTTTGTTTCCCAGGTACCCTTGGCAATATTTGGGAATATTTTTGTCACTACATATAGTGTTGGTACAAGCATCTAATAGGTAGAGACCAGAAATGTTGCTAGATATCCACAGGACATGCCACACAACAAAGGATTATCCTATCTAAAATGTCCATAGTATTGAAGCTAAGAAATACTGCTTTATGGTAAGCTCCTAAGATCTAGAAGAAATCTGTTTATTGACAAGATAAACCCCTTTGCTAAATATTACCCTGTTATTTAAGAATCAAAGTTCATGATTTTTAGCTTTAGCAACAAACAGGCAAATTTTATTTGGCTTATTTCAGGACTATTAAATTATTTATATGTCAGACATAAAATTTAATGGAATCAATTCTTAGAGCACTTTCCTAACCCCCTTTAATTTTGAAATGTTTTCTGTTACTCTCTTAATGATTCAACAGTGTGTATTCCTTTAGATTTGACCTAACTGCTTTTTAATTTGGGGTTACTGCTTAAGTATATACTACTATCTCTGATCCCTGAAACAGGTAAATAACAACTTCTCTTGAAAATGAGTATTTAGAATGTCTTTAGAATATCAACTTAAAATAGTTCCTCCAACATAAGACCTGTTCCTTTGGAAGCTTTGAAATCAAGTTCAATTTATTACGTTTTTATTTTCATAAATGTTGCTTTTGTTAAGACAATAAAAACCGTGTTGCAACTTATAATGACGTCCATAAAAATACCACTATGTACCACATCTTTCTAATCCAGTCATCTACTTTTGGGCATTTGGGCTGCTTCCATGTTTTTCCAATTGTAAATAAAGCAGCAATAAACATGGGGGTGCAGGTATCTTTTTCACTCAGGGTTTTTGTGTCTTTTGGGTAGATAACTAGGAGTGGGATTGCTGCTTCGTAGGGAAGCTCCATGTTTAGCAGTTTGAGGAACCTCCAAACAGTTTCCCATAGTGGTTGTACTAGTTTGCATTCCCACTAGCAGTGCAGGAGAGTTCCTTTTTCACCACATCCTTGTCAACATTCGTTGTTGTTTGGATATGTGCCATTCTCACTGGGGTGAGGTGGTATCTCATTGTGATTTTAATTTGCATCTCCCTTATGACAAGTGATGTTGAACATTATTTCATATGCTTGTTGGCCGTCTGCATTTCTTCTTTGGAGAAGTGTCTTTTTAGCTCTTCTGCCCAGTTTTTGATGGGGTTGTTTATTTTTGTTGAGTTTCATCAGTTCTCTGTACATTTTTCTGATCAGTCCTTTATCACTGGTTTTGTATGAGAAAATTTTTTTCCCAATTAGTGGGCTCTTATTACTTTTTTGTGTAGATTCTGAAAAGCTTGTAAGTTTCTAAGAATTCAAAATACATATTTTGTGACTCCTGGAATTGAAGTAACAGTATTCTTTATTCTATTTTTACAGTTCTGCTTTGTCTAAAAAGGACTATTTTGAGCTTTGTCATTTTGTGCTTCACAGGAACCAGCACCAATGACAGAAGATTTGCTCGAAGAGCAGTCGGAGGTTCTAGCTAAATTAGGCACATCAGCAGAAGGAGCTCATCTCCGAGCACGCATGCAGAGTGCCTGTCTGCTCTCAGATATGGAATCTTTTAAGGTAGGTCACCCTAAGAGAACTCCAGGTTCTACTTTGAACTATTATGGGATGAACCTATGGAAGTCACTCTTAAAGTGTTATGAGTACCTGAATCACTTTTTTATTAACTTTTAATTTCACTAGTAGTCCCAACACACTACCTTTAGTCCTTAAATGTTGTAGTCTAACTTTTAAAGTTTAACAAATTTGAATAATAGTTAAAGGTGAAATTGAATTATGTGCATGAGAATGATCCCTCCCTTTGTGTGTGTTTTGCCAATTAATGAAAGGCCTTTGGGAAAACTTTATGCTTTAATAAAGCTTACTTTATTTAATAAACCTATAAATACTGTGACTTGCATGTGATTAAGTAAGTAAAAGTTACAGTGTTTATCCTTAGTCAGAACATACTGAGATTGTGGGAGGAGAAATGCAAAGAAAGATATGTAATGAAGTATTTGCGAGGCCTTCTCTTATGAAGGCAAGGTCAAAAGGTTACTGGCTCTACTAAATATGTCATGGAAGGTTTCTCAGAAGTCACCATTTAGGCTGAGTAGGCAAATCTGCTTCCTAGAGAAGAATTTTGGGCTTAGATATAGACAGGTATCCACAACATAGAAGACTTAGAGAATGGTAACATTTGACTTCTTAGCTTAAAAACAAAGAAATGAAGAACTGCCTTTTGCTTTTTAAGTTATTTTTCCTTGAAAACAGGGACAAATCCATGTACATTAAAACACAAAACACAAACCCAAGTGGGTAGCCTTCCTATTGCTGCTGAATTATCTCAAGGCACAGACTTTTCTCCTTAACCTGCTGCTGCTGCTGTGATGGCCTCCATGTCCCCATTTCATAGTCCCCATTCAGTCCTTCTTTTTGCTATGTAGGCCATGCTGAACTTGATTTTTCTACTTAAACACTCCATGAAAACCTATGCCACTTTTATCTTCCCTATTCTCAGATTTAAGTGACAATAAAAGGGAACTTTTATATTCCCTGATTATTTCCATCTTTAACTAAAAAGAGAAATCTTCAGTAAACCTCTCAAGCTGCATGTTTTCATTAGAGACTAAAAAGGTACAGAAAATGTCTCCATTCTCTGAGACAAGAGAGAGAGATGTTGTCCAAAATAAAAATTAGTTGGTACAGTGAATAAAGAAAAGCCAGTTGACTCTTACAGTGTATGTTAAATGAAAAAGGTGGAGAAAGGGATTGGTATAGAATGTCTATGCACAGCAGGAAATACTAGCCTCCACAGCACCTATTTTTCTCCTGACTTCACCTGCTTTCATATTCATCTCTGCCTGTCCTGCCACATGTGCTTGCAGAAGCATGTACAAGAGAAAATTCTAAATTGGAACTGTTGAAAATTCCCCAGAGAAATATTGGCACCTCATTTTAAAGGTCAATAAAATATTTTTAACACCGCTTCAGCAAAAGTTTCTTAGACTTTTGGATTAACCTTGGCACCTACAAATTTCTTTGTTTTTACTATAAATTCTTTCAATCAGAAAATAGATTATATTTCGAATAGCCAGCTGATATACCTCCCCCTATGTGCATATCATATAATAAAGTTAAGGAAATACATAGTCACTCTAAAATAAATACGACTGCCTTTCCTCTTTCATCTAGAGATAATAAGGTTTTAAAGGTATGTGGAAGAGTTCCCAAAGTGTTGGATAAAATGCTAATATGTACCTGAGGTACTCCAAAAGGACAGAGCCTTTATTTAAGCATAACTTTGTAGTACATACCTGTAACAACAGAATGAAGATAAACAATAGCTGAAGTAAGTCTTGACTTTATTCTGGTAGGTTTATGTTCAGTCTGGTGTAGTAAAGGCAAGAAGAAGAAATAATTCTGATGTAAAATATCTTGAACAAATTCTGTGGTGTAGGAGTCAGATATTTTCTTTTTTCAGTTTGCTCTCTAGGCCCCTCTCTACAGTTTAACTAAGATGTTTTCATGTGTGTGTGATGTTGTCTGGTCACTATCCCTATCTTTGTATGGGAATCTGGAGTCATTCTGTAACCTTAACTTACTGTAGTTTCCAGCAGTTCTTTGTTGCCATGATGCCATAGCCCTTAGAAGTTTATATGATTCATTGTCAGTTGATGACCCTCCTTTATTCTGAATCCCCTTATGGGGGTTTCTTAAATTGGTTAGGATGATTGAACTGGTAGCTCCTGAGCTCAACCAGGAAAATGATCAATTTTGTCTTACACATTTAAGACAGCTCCTTCAAATTATGTTTTCATTTTGTTCTGAAGCTAATGTAATTCAAAAAGAAAGAAAGTGACCATCTAATTAACAAATTTTTGTTATTGTTTACCTTACTCTTTCAGGGAATTAAATATAGTGCTTACAGCTGGAAGAATATGTTGTGGTAGAGAACATAACCAAAAATGTGCTTAATGTGTATATATGTAACCTTTGATGTATAGTAGATATTATATATGTGCTCTGCCTTACTACTCTACTCTTACATTACTCTGCACTTGCAAGAAAATTTCTTTGCTTTTCTGCTAACAGTATGAAACCTCTACTATTTTTTCAGATTTGAATGTAAAATTACTAAGAGGATTTTGGTATGCTTCATCTATGGAATTGTCCACTAAATAAAATTTTAAATAGCTTGGTTTCAGAAACTTGAAAAACAGTAGGTTAAATTCCAATTCCTTAAAACACAACAGCAATTTATGTGGTGGTAATTTGTTATGTAAAGCATAAAAATTTGATGTTGAATAGAATACTTTGAGGTTCAATGGTATTTATTGCAGCACCAGTATTGACTTATTGTGGAAAATAGCATATTTTTTTCCATCACTGTGTTATTGTTATGATCATGTCATGTATTATTTCATTTATTCAACTTAAGTTTGATATTCTCAATAGTAGATTTTTTGTTCCCAGATTCATCAAATGAAAATATTTTATTTTTTCATAAAAATGGAGATATCAAAGATAAGATGGTTTTGATATTTTTAATGTCTGAATTGTTCTAAAAGTAGCACACAAACTTATGTCATACATTAGACTTTGTAAAGATTATTTAGACTTTTTGTGAAAGGAGATAATGTTTTTGCAGTAGATTTATCAGTAAACATTGATTTTGTTTGATTCTGTAAACTTTTATCTTTATTTTAGGCAGCAAATCCAGGTTGTTCTCTGGAAGATTTTGTGAGGTGGTACTCACCCCGGGATTATATTGAAGAGGAAGTGATTGATGAAAAGGGCAACACAGTTCTGAAAGGAGAACTGAGCGCCCGAATGAAGATTCCAAGCAATATGTGGGTAGAAGCCTGGGAAACAGCTAAGCCAATTCCTGCTAGAAGGCAGAGGAGACTCTTTGATGATACACGGGAAGCAGAAAAGGTAAATTAGGTGTGGGTATCTAATTACTAGAATGCTAATTATTCTTCTAGCCTTTTAAAGACTTTGAACACACTTGAAAAGCAGAGCATTTAGTGAGCTGTTTTGTACCTACCAGTTAGGTTTAAAACTAATTGCAAATACACCAAAGAATAAGACATGCGTATTTTATTTTTTTTTTTTTTAATTAAAAAAAAAACCATTTTTTTTTTTTTTAAAGATTTATTTATTTGTGCATACAGAACTGGGGTACAGACCAGAGGCTCACGGGCGGTGAGAGGCTTCACCAGAGACAGAATGGGGAGCAGAACAGGCAGATCCACGAAGTACACTGCTGAGGGGAGCAGCGGGCGGGTCAGGAGAGGTCTGCCACGCCATGTGGACTCCTCCAGGGCAGGCGGGAATCGAACTCATGCGGAAGTGGCTTTAGATTCTCAGTGCAGTGCTTTAACCCGCTGCGCCACCAGGGAGGGCCCAAAAAAAAAAAAACTATTTAATGGACACAAAAATTTGAATCTCATGTAATTGTCACATATCACAAAATATTTTTCTTAAAGGAAAAATACCAGATGGTTTCACTCATAGTAGGAGTATAACCGACCAGGCAAGAAAATAATAATAATAATGAACAGCTAAGTACCAGAGACATTTTATGGCAGTGGAGTGGGGAATGGGATCAGAAACAGTGGGGGGAAGGAAATACACTGGACTATGGTGATGAAACATGGGTGATTTGATGATGGAAAGCCCATGGGGATTACAACTGAGATGAAAAAACACACAAAATGATGTAAAAATAAACTATTATTTTTGAAAAAAGGAAAAGAAAAATATTTTTCTTGTTTTGATTTTTATCCCCAATAATTGCAAAATGTAAAAGCATTCTTTTCTTAGCTTATGATCCATACAAACAAAGCCATGGCTTGTGGGCTGTAACTTGCTAACCTTAGTCGAGACAGTGTGTTTTTCTTTCATATTTATTCTCATAGACTGCTGACTAATAGCATACCTGGCACTGAACAAAGCTTGCTAAAATGAATCTCATATGTGGAGAAAAGTGCTTTTCAATTTATGTTTTTTTCCATCACAAATTGTAGTGGTGTGATACAGTATATATTTTTAAAATTTATTTTCATACATATATGAAACACATAATTATTTTTGTACAATGTATACTTTCTCCTCTCAGGTGTAGTCCCATAAAATTACCACCACCAGTTTAACTTTGCACCATCACCAGAGTCACTTGTACTCTTCCCTCCCTTGTTTTGATCCCACTCCCTCCCTGCAGAATGTCTCTGATTTATAGTAGACTCTCAATTTTTTCTGTTATTTTTTTTAATTACTGTTTTTTTCCCCGATCCCTTATTTGGTTTCCCCGTATTTCTCCTATGAGTGAAACCATGCAGTATTTTTTTTTTCCTACTTATTTCACTGAGCATAATACATCCAGCTTAATCTATAATACTGCAAATGGCATGAGTTTATCTTGATTGCCGAATAATAGTTCATTGTGTATATATATCACATTTTCTTGATCCAGTCATCTATTTTTGGGCATTTGGGTTGTTTCCATATCATACATACCTATTATAAATAGTGCTTCATTAAACATAGGAGTGCAGGTATCCTTTTGAATTAATGTTTTTGTGTCCTTTGGGTAGATTCCTCTGAGTGCAATTGCTGGGTCATATGGTAGTATCTTGAGGAGCCCCCACACAACTTTCCATAGTGGTTGGACAAGTTTGCATTCCCACCATCAGTGTAGGAGAGTTCCTTTTCATCTATACCCTTGTCAACATTTGTTGTTGCTAGTTTTTTTTTTTGAATGTGCCATTCTTATATAAGGTGGTATCTCTTTGTGGTTTTGATTTGCATTTCCCTGATTATGAGTGATGCCATGTTTTCATATTCTTGTTGGCTATTTGCATTTCCTCTTTGGAGATGTGTCTTTAACTCTTCAACTCTTCCTCTCCTTTTTGACTGGATAGTTTACTTTGTTTTCCTTGAGTTGCATGAGCTATTTGCAGATCTTTGTGATCCATTTCCTATCAATTGTATTGTGTGCAAAGATTTTTTTCGAATGAGTAGAGTGTCCTTGTATTTTAGGTTGATGTAACCTCAGTTTGTCTTTTCTTTCACTTCCTTTGCTTTGGGGGATGAATCTTTACAGATATTACTGAGATGTAACAACAGGCATATTTTTTATATAATGTGTACCATTGGACTGTCTCAATCTCATAGTGTATGTCAAAAGCCTTAAAAGTGGGCATATTCTTTTACTTAGCAATTCTGTACCAAAAAATTTATTAGGGAAATACATAAAGATCAAGATATAAGAATGGTGTTCAATGAAGTTTTGCAGTGAAAATATAATAACAATTGAAGTTTCCAGAAATAGGGTTTGGTATAAAAGAGTATGGTATATATTTTTTTAAAGATTTATTTATTTATTCATACAGAACTAGGGTACAGGCCAGAGATGTGGAGGGTGAGAAGATTCACCAGGGACAGAGTGGGGGCAGAACAGGCAGATGGACGAAGTACACTGCTGAGGGGAGCAGTGGGCGGGTCAGGAGAGGTCTGCCATGCCATGTGGTCACTTCTGGGGCAGGCGGGAATCGAACTCATGTGGAAGTGGCTTAAGCTTCTTAGTGCTGGGCATTAACCCGCTGCGCCATCAGGGAGGGCCCTGGTATAAATATTTTGTGGAGTACTTTACAACTATTAAAAAACACTTAGAATTCTGGAAGATAGTGGCCGCTATCTGATATCAAATTGTCCTCACACCTTCTCCAAGCTATATGAAATTAATGTACAAATCAATGCTTTACACATCACTGGACAGTAGAGATGGGCTTTTAAATCAATTATAAATAAAAAAGCCAAGTTCAAGTGGAGTACCACTGATGTCCTACTGTGAGTGTAAGAGAATAGAGACAAAAGATCTCTTGAAGAGCTGAAAGAGTAGAGAGATCTGAAGAAGAGTTGAGGGGGTTGTGAACTGGAAATATGCTATAAGAGAGCAGGGGATAAGACAGGAGATAATCTGCACAAGAAGGTTTGGGGGCTCCCTTTTATAACCTGTTTTCATGACTGGGAATCTGCTGGTTGTTGTCTGCTGAGACATCAGATTTCAGTGGTTCTTCTTATAGAAGGTGTCCTATATGATTCTGTTTGCCCTATTTCTGCATTCCAGCCCCCTTTGGTCATGTGAACCCATGGCCAGGTTGCCATGGCAACTTCTATCAATAGTTTTCCTTTCTTAACCAATTTTGTGTCTTACAACATTTTCAGCTGAACAAATGCAGATAATAAGTTTTAACCATATTAAATGATATACTGAGAAAGAACAGCTCACATCTGTGTAAGAGTTTGACAAATAGAAAATGCAGATTGAATCACTTCAGCTAATGAAACATTTCCCAGAAAATTGACCCACAAGCAGAAGAAAATTATAACACTTCAAACTCTATCGTATATTTACAAACAAGCATAATGTTTAATCAGAAATACTAAAACCAAGAACAGAACTGAAGTGCAAAACCCGCAAAGAAATAAAACTACAGCTGGTTAACCTAGGATAGAATTAGAAGGGTAAAGCAACCATATTAAAAAAAAAAAAAAAAAAAACAACTGTATAAAAGGCCCAAGAGCAAATAGGCTTATATTTAAATTTAATAAAAATCAACAAAGGAAACAGCCAAGAGAATGAAATTGAGATAAGGGAACAAGAGGGCTTGAAAAGAAAGTAGTAGAAATGAATGGTAGAAAAAGTGGAAATAATGTTCATTTTATCAAGTGCATGAAGTAAAAAATTCAAAACACTGAAGCAGAACTAATATTTAAAACTGCTGTCTTGTTTTAATGTTATGTGATATATTTAAACCCTTATTTAAATAAAATTTGTTTTCAGAATAAAGAAAAATAAAATCGCAGTCTAATAATTTTTTTTTAAAAAAGATTTATTTATTTATACAGAACTGGGGTACAGGCCAGAGGTAATAGGATTCACCAGAGACAGAGTGGGGAGCAGAAGAGGCTGACTGAGAAAATACACTGCTGAGGGGAGTTATCGGGGAAGCAGGAGAGGTCTGCCATATGGATCCCTTCCTGAAATGGGATCAGCTCACACTGACGCAGCTGCAGCTCACTAGCAGTGCTGCGCTTTAACCCGTTGTGCCATCAGGGATAGCCTCTAAATAAAACTTTTTAGAAATAAAAGTAAACCTTAATTTATGTACTGCAAGATGCAGGGGTAAATTGACCAGAAGTAATGAACTTCAAAATATATCATTGTAAAACTACTAGGCTTTAAATATTTAAAAATAAATAAATAAATAAACTCAGGACCTTCTAGCAAAAGCATGAAAATAACTTAAAAAGAATTATATAGGTTTTTCAAAATGTTCAACATCACTTGTAATAAGTGAGATGCAAATTAAAACCACAATGAGATACCACCTCACCCCAGTGAGATGGCACAACTTCAAACAACTAGCAACAACAAATATTGGCGAGGATGTGGAGAAAAAGGAACAATCTGCACTGCTGGTGGGAATGCAAACTAGTACAACCACTGTGGAAAACTGTTTGGAGGTTCCTCAAACTGCTAAACATAGAGCTTCCCTACAATCCAGCAATCCCACTCCTAGTTATCTACCCAAAGGACACAAAAACACTGATTGAAAAAGATACCTGCACCCGAATGTTTACTGCTGCTTTATTTACAATTGGAAAAACATGGAAGCAGCCCAAATGCCCAAAAGTAGATGACTGGATTAAAAAGATGTGGTACATATATACAATGAAATATTACTCAGCAACCAAAAAAGAGAAACACATGTCTTTTGCAGCAACTTGGATGGAGCTGGAAAAGATCATGCTTAGTGAGATAAGCCAGAAAGAGAAAGAAAAATACTGGATGGTTTCACTCATAGCAGGAGTATAATGGACCAGGCAAGAAAATAACAATAATGAATACCCATATACCAGAGACATTTTGTGGGGGTAGAATGGGGAATGGGATCAAAAACGGGGGAGGGGGGTAGGGAGGGAAGTGCATGGGATTATGGTGATGGCACACATGGGTGACTTGGTGATGGGAAACCTGCGGGGATTACAATTGAGATGGGAAAAAAAAATGTACAAAATGATGTGAAAATAAACTTATTAGAAAAAAAGGGCTAATCAAAAAAAAAGAATTATATAGGTTTTTCAAAAGCAACATACAAAAGCAATGTGGAACAGCATTTTCAAGAAATATGAGGAAAATATATAAATCAGTTACCATGTCTTGCCAAAATATCCCAGTATCAAGACTAGAAAAAAATGATTCTTTGAGGATTCTTATGGAATCCACTAGAATTGTCCAGTCCAGTAGTATTTTTTATAGTATTAGAAATGTTTTATAGCTATGGGCTCTTGTTGGTGTGGTGTATTGGGTTAAAGCATTGCACTGTGAAGCTCTCAGAAACAGCCCCAGCCAAGAAACTGACCCACATAGTTTGGCAGACCTCTCCTGACCCACCTGCTGCTCCCTTCAGCAGTGTTTTTCAGTAGATCTGGGTGTTCTGTTCCCCACTTTGTCTCTGGTGCATCCTCTCACCCACTACACCTCTGGCCTGTACTCCAGTTCTGTAAGCATAAGTAAATAAATCTTAAAAATGTATTATAGCTATATGCTATTCAAAGTAATAACCAAAAGCCATATGTGATTTTAATAAGCACTTGAAATGTGGCTACATAACACAGAAACTGCACTTTTGAATGACTACATGCAAATGCAGCCTGCCTTATTGAACAATAGAGTAAAGGAGGGTGACCCTCATTCAGCCAAGAGGTTAATGGGGAAAGTGACAAAGTACCAGTGGTGAGCACTTCATTTATTTTAAAGCTGAGACTAAAACTAGGAGGAGACATGAATAGAAGAAGAATATGTAAAAATTTTATGATGGGACAAACTAGAAAGAATGTGACCCAAAAAGATGAGGCCAAAGAAACAGAGGAGACTGATCATTGATTGATTCACAAATAATAGGTAGTAATCAGAGGATATTGTTTCAAATTGTCAACATGCAGGACCGGAAGGAGAGTAAAGAGGGGTAAGGAAGAACAAAAGAGTGGGCACACAAACTGTGGTGGACAGTTATGGGTGACTTGTTGATGGGAGAACTGTCATGACTACCTCTGAGAGAGAAATTCTTTTTGTGAAAAACATGAACAAGGATGTAAAATAATAGTATTTCAATAAAAATGTGTATTTTAAAATTGTCAGATCAAATGTAAAAACAGAAGTTAAGGGTAACAAGAAAGGTATTAAAGCAAGGATATCTACTGGAATAAAAAAATAGAAATTTTCCTAAGTACCAAGAGATAAATGTTTTGTAAGAACATACCAAATAGGGAACATATATAATAAAATCACATCATACACTGAATTATTATACAGCAAGTTTGTTAACAATGTCCTTTCTTTCAACATCAATTCATTATAACATTGATGAGGAAAAAAGCCATCTTGGTCAATGTTGAATGAAAGTGTTTTTCGAAGACATACTATAGTCCTATATTGTTTTGTGTAAAATTGCTGTTCAAGAATCTGTCAGTAATGTTAAGTGGACTTTCTGTGGAAGGTAGTTGTATGCAATCAATTCTCTGCTAATAAAGAAGGAATTTATTGATTCAGAAAGGCTACAAAATTAACAATGGACTAATATTTACCAGGCAAATGAAAACAATAAGTAAGCATTGTGATACTGATATTAAAGTATAACTAAAGCAGAAAAACATTAATTGAAATAAACATGAATGCTTTATATTCTAAAAGTGATAATTAACAATAAGGATTTAATATTTGTTAACTTTTATGACATACATACATTTTCACTACCAATACAGAACAGGAAGCACAGGAGATGCATGGAGAAACAGATCAACATACACTGATAATGAGGACTTTTAACACATTATTCTCAGTACAAGTCAGTTGGTCTGCTTAGACCAACTATGAAAAGAATATAAATAAATTGTCCTGTAGATATATCTCAACCATTGTGCCTAAATAATACCTTCTTTTCAATTATACATGGAAGATTCAAAAACCTGATAGGAGAATACAAAGACAATAGTAGTAGGCTTCAAAGTAGAAAAATAATCAATAATCTGCAGTAAAACTGGAAAATCTTTATGTCTATTTTTAACAAATAGTCCAGGTCTTCTTCCTGGAAATTTAAAAACCTTTATTAGACAACAATGGGGTGAAAGGGAAATACTAAATAAATTATATAACTTCTGGAGGAGATGGTAGGACTTAAAGTATGAATCCTGTACTAGGAAAGCTAATTCTAAATTATATAACATATAATTTATAATTATAAATTAGAAGGAAATTGTAGAGTCGCCACCTCAAAGACACTGAGAGAGCTGAAACAATAGATGTGTAAGCAGGAGTTAGTGGGGGCAGGTAACCAATGACTACAAAGACTTTTTGATGGTTTGGAAGTATGATTATTATTTTATATGTATTTGATGTTTTCAAAAACTGGTAAAAAAAATGCTCCATTGTTAATTGTTGTCTCTATGTGGTATAATTTGCAGATATTTTTATTTTCTTTATATTTTCCTAATTTGCATGTATTACATAAGGAAACAGGAAAATCCATGGGAATAGTCATCCTTATTAGAGAATGAAGATCTTAACTGTTTTCAGTAACTTTATTCCTACTTTTGGAAGTAGTAGCTTCTTAATCTGAATGAGTAGGATAGGCACTAAGTGAAGAGAGCTTTTCTGTACTCTTGTTACGTATGTGAGTTCTGTAGGTCAGAGGATTTTTTTCTTTTTGTAAACAGCTGCTTTATTTAACAACTTCACTGATTATTTTTACATAAACTTGGGCCTCCTTCAGGTGCTGCACTATCTGGTAGTTCAGAAACCTGCAGACCTTGCTCGGCACTTGTTACCTTGTGTAATTCATGCAGCAGTACTCAAGGTAAAGGAAGAAGGTAAATGTCTTATTTGATTAGTAATTAGTTCATTACCAAAATGAAAGTATATTTTGCCTACCTAATTTAATGATAACTTTGATCTTTTTTAAAAATAGAAAATCTGGAAAACATTTCTTCAGTTAAGAAGATTATAAAGCAAATAATATCCCATTCCAGTAAGGTTTTGCACTTCCCCAATCCTGAAGATAAGAAGTTGGAAGTAAGTGGTATAATATTAGGATCTTGCTAAGTGTTCTCCCCTGTGGCAATAATTATTTAAAAAACATAAACAAAGACATGGCTTAAAGGCAATGGCATGTTTGCTTTCTTCCAATGTATGTCTTTCCTTTCCTCACTATTAGGAAATCATTCATCAAATTACTAATGTGGAAGCTATAATTGCAAGAGCCCGTTCACTGAAAGCCAAGTTTGGAACTGAGAAGTGTGAACAAGAAGAGGAAAAGGAAGATCTTGAAAGGTAATTGCTGTATGACTTGTTTTGTTTGTCTGCATAGGAAAAGCCATCAATCTGTTCAGAAAAATTTTAATAGGCTATTGAGATTCTTTGTGGTATACTTATATCATTTGTAACAAGCACTGACTATAGAGAGAGAACTATTTAATTATCGGAGGGTTTGACACTACTGTATTTCTGACTATTTTTGAGGTGTTTCTGTTTCTCCTACTTTTAGAAACAAATCTACCAGTTCTCTGTTTCTAGGAATTTCCTTGTTTGCTCTTTGTTATGTGGGGTCTACAGTCTCATGTTGAGAAATTATTCACTTTTTTTTACTCAAAGTACCCTAGAGCTTTTCTTTCTGTTACTGCTCTTTATGCCCCAGTTGAGGTATTCTGAAACTATATTTGTATTTGTTATTTTTGATTATTAATGCAATTTTAAACAAGGCTTGTAGTAGCAAAGGTGCATATACTGTGTACTTTATGAATGTTTTAAAAGAGTAAATTTATGGCTTCTCCCAGATAATAAGGCAAATGACTCAGACTATCTTTTTCTCCTTCTGAGACTTGACACTATTACCAGTGGATCCTGTCAGTGTTGAATTCTTGTTCATTTTTTTCCCTAGTACTTGAAAGGTATTGTTTTAATATGTGATAAAGTATTTCCAAATTAACTAGTTCAGTTGATTTAATATATTATAACTTTAACTTGTTCATAATCTTTCCATGGCACTAAATTATTGATGCTAAATAACAAATATTACCTAACAATGCATTGCTATAACTTTTACCAAGTTCTTGTTTGAATTTTGTTGAACAGAATTTACTCCCAGTCTACTTTGCTCTCTTCCTTTTAAATGAACAGAATAAACTCATCAATAGAGAATGATTTCTAAAATAGCAGTGTACCAGTGAGCACAGTGGTCCATACTAGCTTAGGTGGCTCTGTGACTTTGACTTTGTTAGCTCTACCATACATTATCTATGATATACTTGGAAATACAGTGTTTCTAACACATAATGGCAGTTTTCAGTTGACACTTTTCCCAGAAAAACATGTATTTTAAGCAAGTATGCACATACACACAAATATACACCTATACTCTTTTTTTTTTTTAAGATTTTTTTTTATTTGCGCATACAGAACTGGGGTACAGGCCAGAGGCTCAGGGGCTGTGAGAGGCTTCACCAGAGACAGAGTGGGGAACAGAACAGGAAGATCAACGAAGTACACTGCTGAGGGGAGCAGCGGGCGGGTCAGGAGAGGTCTGCCACACCATGTGGTCACCTCTGGGGTAGGCGGGAATCGAACTCATGCGGAAGTGGCTTTAGCTTCTCAGTGCAGTGCTTTAACCCGCTGCGCCACCAGGGAGGGCCCTACACCTATATTCTTAAGGAGCAAAACCAAAAATACGGAGCACTATTTTGCTGTATAAATAACACTTAGTTTTTGTTGTCCAGAATTATTTTTTTTTAATCTTAGGTTTACTATAGCATTTTCTAAGCTTCTAGTCTGAAAGAAATAGGCTATTTCTTTCTATGCCTTGACAGAGATAGATCCTTCTATAGTTGAAAGTCAGTCAGATTGTTGGCTGAGTTTACTTTAATTCCAGATTTAATTCCTTTTTAAAATTTCCACTTTCACCTTGATAGACTTAGCCAGGATCAATTTGAGAATTTACCTACAAAATTAATCTGGGAAGACTGACACATTATGAACTGTACAGCTCCTTGTTAACTTTTCATTACTTCTCTCTTCTAGGTTTGTGAGTTGCCTTTTGGAGCAGCCTGAAGTGTTAGTTATTGGTGCAGGAAGAGGGCATGCTGGCAGGATCATTCACAAGTTGTTCATGAATGCTCAGAGGGTATGTGAAATTCATCATTGACTGTATCATTATCTCTCTAGACCTCTACTCACTAAGATGCTGTTTTAATTTTCACACTTCGTTAGGTTCAAACATTGAAGAAACAGTAACTTCTGAGGCTTTAAAATTCTTTTGCTCTCTTACACATTAGAGTAAAATGGTAAGTTTATTTTAGGATGTAAATTCCAGAAGTTAGAAAGGTCTGAAGCCCACTGACTAGGTTAGCAATGGTCAGTCTTACCAAATTTCTTGTACTACAAACAGATCCACAGATGTAAAGTTAGAGATTTCCTAGAAAAGAAAGGAAGATTTCAGATTTTTAGTAAGATTTTCAGTAGAGAAAGAAAGCTCAATTTGAAAAATTATCTTCACTATTACCTATATAATTAAATTTGTTAAAAATTAAAATTTGACTTTTTTATGAAAGTGATATTAGTAATACTCTTGCTTGTACTTCTGTACTGTTTATTGGTTAAGAAGTGCTGGCATCCCACAGATGCTTCTCATGTCATGGCTATTAGTATTAAAGATTCTGGTAAAAATATTAGGAAGTATACTTATAAATACAGGATGCCCCTCTTACCTTACACTGTGTTGACACTGTAATGACCCAACTTTGAAGGTGTATCAGTGAATCAGATAACATAAAGAATTTTCATTAAGTATACAAATGGAATAACAATTTCATAATCTCTTTTGAGTTGGTCTGGAGTATATCTAGTTGATATATTCAAAATCATTCCCAAATCTACTTATCTGAATTTTTTAGCAAGAACTAAAACCTGAGATTATTTAAAGGCTAACTTTTCAAATTTACAAATTTCAAGTTGAAAACAGGTACTGTATTTCTCTATAGATTGGAAACAATAGACATTTACTTATTTTGGTTTTTGCCTTTGGCAGGGAGCAAAGAACTGAGTTTGTTTTCATATACTATAAACCTTTATCAGTTTAATATCCAGAAGTCTATAAGCACATTTCCTTGTTAGCAGCAATATGAATTTTATCCATATTACAAAAAACTTTTCCTATTTTCTCATTAATTAACACTTAGGACAATTTAACATATAAAGCTTTATATTTTTAATGCTGAGTGTGTTACTTATTTGGGATGATTGCATAAAATTATTTCCTTGTAAGTAGACATTGCCTTTTCCCCCTTCGATTGTGATTAAAGGCTCATTGTAAAAATTTGGACAATACAGGAATTTATATTAAAAAAAATTAATCATACCTTACTATGTACTGATTACTTTCAACATTTAACATCCAGTGTATATAACTGTATATTTTGTAAAAAGAGGATTATACAATTTACTTTGTTCTTTTTTCCCACTTATCTTTTAAGATTTATTTTTCTCTATTTTTACATATAAGAACTGGGGTGTAAGCCAGAGCTGTGGGAAGGGGGGAGGAAGTAAAAGGATTCACTAGGGACAGAGTGGGGAACAGAACAGAAAGATCTACTGAAATATACTGCCAATGGGAGCAGCATGTGAGACAGGAACAGTCTGTTGGGCAGTATGTGGGTCAGTTTCCTGGCTAGGGATCGAACTCAGGCTAAAGGTCTGGCAATAGCTTGATAACACTGAGACATCAACCTCTACACTATCAGGGAGAACACTCCACTTACCTTTTTATATCAGTAAATAATAGGAGTGTTATATTTTTAATGAGCTCATTGTATAGCTGATTCCCTTTAACAGATACAGAAATTAGTAATTTATCCCTCATTTTGCAATTTTAAAACATTTTCAAACTTTTAAACCATGCAGTCAGGTTTTAGGGAATTATGTGAATGAATTATGTTATGTGAATTGTTATAATTCACATAACAAGTACTTAGTTTGTTCATTTTTAAATTTAATCCTTAGGTGTATGGCTAAAGGAAATCATTAAAGTCCATTCATGTAACTTTTCTTTTTATGATTAACTGATGACTTTATTCATTTCCATTTTATTAAAAATCAAGATAATATCTTAATGAGTTATAATGAAATTCTAGAGAATTTTTTATAGTCTACATTAACTTTATGTAGTTAGAATTTTTCTTTAAAATTTTGTATTTTAGTATACTTCATCATGATTACATATGTCAGTGTAAGTTTAGCGATTAGATCACTGATTGGAATTTCTTCAGTCTTGCTAAAATTAAGTAACTCTGAGACACCTATTCTTTAATTCAAATGCATTTTCAAGCCATTGCACTTTTTTAAGCATCTGAATTCTTCAATAAAAGCTAGATTTTTATTGAATCATCCCCCCATTTAAATTATAATCTGTATGTCAGCTGTTGGACCATCAAGTTGCATGAATTGAGCGTTGGGATGTCTGCTCAGTTTGACAAGCTAGGTGTGTTGTATTTGTGTTGTCTTGATTTCTTTTGATGAGATCCTATTTCTTGATGTAATGCATGCTGTCCCTGAAATAATCTTAAAATTTTGTCCAGCTCTTTTTATTCCATCTTGCTTGTTTCCCTTTCATCACTGTTTTTTTTTCTCACCCTTTTTCAAGCTGACTGAATCTTCTGATGAGGTAACAAATAGCCCTTGTCCCTCATAGTTCCTTGTTCCTTCCCATCCCTCTAACTTCATTAAGGTCATTATGACTAACCACCTTTTTGAACAGTCTGGATTTGAATAGTCTTTCTTGCTGATGTTTAATGTAACATGATTTCATGTTTTTATTGTCAAAACAATTATTTTTCCCAGTCGATTTTGTCTTGTCAGAGAAATGAAAGAAGTATAGTGGTCAGAGTTGAATATGTATCTCATAAAATTCTAATGAAATTATAGATGCCACAGATTTTGAGAACTTCTCTTTTGTGAACATTGCTACATGGACCTCTGCTACTTCTGTATCATATTAACTACCCAGTAAACAAAGTCAACAGCCCCAGTTTTATATCGGCAAGAGAACCCTGAAAAGAATTGATTTAAATAATCAGTGTAAAACCCATCTTCCTTGGCTCTGGAGAGAAGTAGCCCATTACTAGACTGAGGACATCAGACTCGGAGTGGGTTATTGCTAGAAGAAATCTATAGGAACCAGTGTAGCGCCACTTTCTCTTTTCTTCAGATGTCAGACTATGACACTCACTTTGCAAGCAGAGGCTTGGCAGTCATTATCCCTTTGACACTGTCACCAATGTATTTGTAATCTCTGGCTGTGCATGTCACCGCTTCATACATTTTTTTGTGTGTGTTGTTTTTTTTTTTGAGTACTCACAACATGGCTTACTGCATTACTGAGTAATGTAAGACATTTTAATGTTTTTGTCATATTTTTTTTCATCTGTCCTTTAAAATGATCTAAGTGTAACACTTGACTCGCTGTTGAATTTAGCATTTGATTCTATTCAAGGCTGCAGCGGCATCTCCACCAGAGGAAGAACTGAGGAGAATGGGCTTCCCAGAAGAAAGAAGGCAGGGCTCCACTTCAGACTTTCCACCCCCTGCAGGCCGGGAACTCATTTTGCGCACTACCGTGCCCCGCCCTGCTCCATACTCGCGAGCTCTGCCTCAGCGCATGTACAGTGTCCTCACCAAAGAAGATTTCAGACTTGCAGGTGCCTTTTCATCAGATACTTCCTTCTTCTAATTCTTTCAGGGTTACCTCATTTGTGGTTTCAGAGACCTTGCTGACCCTTTCTGTAGGGGGAGATTGTGCCGGTTAAAACCTGAAGAGGCCATGAAAAGGGCTTGCCTAGTTGAATGATCAAGAATCATACCAGCATGTGGAAGACTTTCCAGTGCCAAGTTTGGACTCTGTTTTATCTTGCCGGCAGCAGAGGGGATGGGCTTGAGCTGTTGAAAGATTTTGTTGCCCCAAAGAAATGACCCAAGTGTTGGGGTGGGGAGTGAGAAGCAAAAAGCAAAGCAAAACAAAAAAAAGCAACAGGAATTTTCTGTACTCTTTTGGTGGGTTTGTGTTCATTTTATTCTTTACATGACTATCCCTTGCATTCATAGTCTGTGTAAACACTTGCTACATTTAATAGTATCAAGTATGCAAAATACAGTATCTGTTAACACAATTTTCTGGATATTTTGGTGGTAGCTTCTATTCCAAGAATCTGTATTTTTAAAATACTAAATGACATTCTGTTTATTCAGTCGCCTCTTGATCATCTTCATTGTAACTAACTTTTGATGAGCATTTTGACTATTACAGGAACACATTTAGAATCTTACATGGTTTATGTGTTTTTTCCATGTAATTGTGACAGATAAATGTATTCCTTCTGATAAAAATACATATTAAATATCCTGCAAATTAGTTTTATATTTATTTTGTAAGTTTTGTTTCTGTTGTTTTTGGTTGCCATGTAAGATGTCAACTTGCAAATTGTTGTTCTCTTCCTGCTGTACAGCATGCATTCCTTTTTTTTTTTGTGGTTGCTGGCTGGATACTGTATTTCTTGAAGTAGTGCTGAGCACACTCTAAAATATACTCTTGGTACATATTGATTATCATGCAGGCAGTATAATTCAATATATATGCTAGTGTAATGAATAGATTATTTCAGTGCACTATTTTGCTTTTATATTTTAGTTCAAATGAAAATAATTGATGGGGATGTGTAGCATCCAGCAAAACAGCATATTTCTTCCTAGATGATGATCAAGACTTACTGTCTGTTGCTATCTGACCTCTATTCAGTAATGTTAAAGATAATTTTAGGCCTAAAATTTCCACTTTAATCCAAAGTAAAAAATGGTTATACTGAAGCATAGTCCTTGCCTATGTATCTTTACGGAGCAAATAGAGCCTTGTAAACTTTGTGTTATATATTATTTTTGTAAAAATAACAAACAAAAAAACCCCAAAAACTCTGTGTACACATGGATGTGTGTATATATACATATGTATATTTGAACGAGGAATGATGTTGGAATTAATTATTGCTGGCAAACATACAGACATAGACTTGAGACTGAGTGTTGTGCCAAGTAGAAGGTGTATCATTCAAGGACAGAGTTTGCTTTCTAACAAGGAAGTTAATGTCAAAAAAAAAAAAAATTTTACAAAAAGAGGTTGTACTTTTAAACAGTGAATCTAATAAAAAAGAAAGTGCTGCTTTCTCTGGTTAATTTTCTCCCACTCTGGTAGGTATTTTGTTATTATATTAGCTTTATGTGGTCTCAGATCTTCATGAATATTTTTAGCCTACTATGTCTGGGAGGGGTCTCATAAACACTTTTTGTTCCTTTTTTGTTGTCGTTTTAGTTTTATGTGTTTATGTCATGGACATTTTTAAGTATCTGCTTTGTTTCAGGTATTGTACTAGGCATGAAGGTAAAACAGAAACTGAAACACATTCCTTCCTTTCAGTAATCTTTCTATCAGGTAGAAAAGGTTTCTATCAAATGGAAAGTATAGTCAGTTCACCTGTATGAACTGGAGGTATGTTTATTATCTAAATGCATTTATTCATTTATTGACAAAAGTGGTGTAGGCAGTCATAATGAACATAAGGTTATGTTTTTCACTCAGGCTTTTAGGGATCAGGAAAATCATTTTCCAGGAAGTGAGCTATAGATTAAGACCAAAATAGGAGTACAAGCTATCAAAGAGGTGGGGAAGCATGGTAAATTGCTCATAAAGAACAACAACAATTAATTTCCCCCACTGCTGTGTTATTGTTCCTGATACCAGAAGGGATGAAGTTTATTTTTCCATCCCGTCAATCTGGACTCGCCAGCACCTTTCTCTGATCAGTGGAATACTAGCAAGCACAATTCAGAGACTTAAAAAAACACTTGCACAGTGGGGCTTGCCTTTTCTTACTTCTGGGAACCCTAAGATGTACATAAAAGACTGCTGAAGGAAGAGAAAAAAGGTGTTTTGTTTTGCGGCAAAAGTTAGTTAAAACAGAAGGTGATAGGAAAAATGTTATAGCTAGAGAAAACAGGATAGACAAAAACTCAGAAACAAGAAAATTTATCTTTGGTGAGCAGCCAGAATTTCAATTTGGTTGCAGTATGGTATAGAGTGGGTAAAGACAAAAAATTAAAATAGCGAGGTAAACTAGAATGATTGCAAGAAGTTGGAACTTTATCTTCAGGGCAATGGTAAGTCATTGAAGTTTTAAGCAGGGAAGTGAAATGGAAGGTTTTACACCAATTTGTAGCATGGCAAATGGACTGGAGAGACTAAAAACTATATTGCATGTCCTAGATTTTGTGCTAAATTATAAGATTCTTGAAAAGTAGTGATTATATTGTCAGTGTTTTTAAAAACCTCCTCTGTACTTTGTAATATGCTGCAAAGAGTTTGACAAAGCTTGTAACAATAAGAAATGTCCTCACTGTGGGACCTTCCCACACCCGTATATAACCTTATATCACCATAACAATTAAGATTTTTCTTGGAACTAGGATTTTGAGAATCTTAAGTATTTATACTTATATTTCATTCATTAGTCCAGCAAGTGTTTTTGGTGTTAGTTATGTGCCAGGTACTGTTCTGGACATAGGGGATACAGTAGGAAACAGGGCAGGTAAAAGACCCGTGTCCTAATGGAGATTATACTGAGGTACACCAAGTATGAGTTCATTAAGGCGAGGAAGAGTGCTTTTGAGAAATGTGGTAGGGAAGACCTGTAAATGGTGACATTAAAAGTGAGGGATCAGGCCTTTTGAGTATCTAGGTGATCGTTCCAGCTAAGGATTAGTTAATGTAAAACCCTGAGGTGGGAATAAACCGTGGTCCTTTAGAGACACAGAAAGGAGGCCAGTGTAGTTAAAAGAAGGGTTAGTGAAAGGAGGAGAAGTAGCAAAGTGAGACAAATGTGCAAGACCAGATTACACAAAACTTTGAGTTTGGATTTTATTTTTAGTTGAAAGGGAGAATTTTAAAACAGGGAAGTATGATAAACTGGCAGTTGAAAAAAATTTTAATGTGCATACACTGCAGTGGTAGGTGTGGCAGTAGAAGAAGGGGGATGGTGCATGGTGATTTGGACTGAGGTTGTAGCAGTAGAGAAGATAAGATGGTGATAAAATTTGGGTTGTATTTTGGAAGAATGTACAACTTCAGTGAGGTTAAGGGAGTTACAGATTGCTTGAGGGTTTAGGGGCTAAGTAACTCAGTAACAATCATTTACTGAAGTAAGAGGTTGAGGGAAGAGCAAGGTTTGGGGGGATGATAAGATTTTGATTTAGAATAGGTTCATTTTGAGATAGCAGAAACCTGTGATATTCAGTTTTCAGAGATGATCCCAATGATCCCTACTTTTCTGGTATTCATACCAGTATACCCTACCAGTTAGACTCTGGCTAGCAGAACACAGAAGTAGTTTTGGTTTATCAGTTTAAGGATCAAATTGTACGAGACAGTGCAACTTTAGTTTTGGCTTCTGCCCCCCTCAACCTCCTTGTGTCC